CGCCCGTCTGCGCCGGACGCAGCGCGGAGAGCGTAAATATCAGTGACTCCTCTTTAGCTGCGTCTCAGCGGATGAATGACGGTGGCGTTTGCTGGTTCTCTCTGTGTCCAGATGTGGCCAGCGCAGACCAGCAGAAAGCAGCGGGGGCGCCGCAGGACCAGGACGAAGATCAGAACGACGAGGACGTCGCCATGGAAACGGAGGACCAGGAAGAAGACCTCCAAGCCGCTGAGGTCCAGGAGCTGAAGCCCGAGCAGCTGGACTCTACGAAGGCTTCCCAGAAAGGTGTCGCCACATCTCCGTCTCCTGACGATGACACCGATCAGAGTTGTTTTTTTGTGAAACGTGTAAAACATCCTCTGACGTCTCTCCCTCCTCGTCCTCTCGTGCAGGTGCAGACAGCGGGGAGATGGAGGTGCAGCGGCGGGAAGAGGAGGAAGATGAGGAGGAGAGGTGGAAGGACCGACAGCATCCCAGAGAAGAGCGAGCAGAGAGAGACAACGAGTCCACGATCCACACTGTCCCTGAGCTGCTGCTGGACGCCATGCAGGTACAAGACCATCAGCTGATCCTGCTACGTCTGAAGTCTCTTGTTTAGCTGCAGGCTCAGACTTTAAAGCCTCTCCTGTGTGTGTGTGTGTGTGTGTGTGTGTGTTTGCAGCGAGCTGAAAGAGACCCAGAGGAGATCAGGAGGGAGATGGAGCTGCAGCTGGAGGCCTGGCACAAACTGGCTCCAGGAACGCAGGAGGAGGTGAGAGAGAACAGGAGTCTGAACCGGCTGGTGTCAAAAGGCTTTACGTCTCTGAAACTCAGCGTGTGTCCTTCAGCTCGTTTGTTGAGTGCACCTCTTTTGTAAAGCAGATTGTTTACATCCATGTTTAATTGTGAGCGGTCGTCGTCTTCTTCTCTCCTGTATTTGTTGGCACTTTGCTGCTACACTTCGTGGCGCACATGACCTCCACCTGTGGATCAGTGGAACCATCGTTTAACCATCGGAAGGACGATACGTACGATAGAGCCACTACTACTCCCTCCACAGGGGACCTTTAACCAATAAAGCCAATCCACAATCAATAACAATCAATAAATGTGACCGTATTAGTCACCTGGGGACAGGATGTCGGTGTGTGTGACTGATGTTTTCCCGTCTGTGTTCCAGGAGACTGCAGCGGCCTCCATGTGGCATCAGTACCAGACCCTGACCTCCGCTCTGTCCCAGCAGCTGTGTGAGCAGCTCCGCCTCGTCCTGGAGCCCACACAGGCCACCAAGCTCAAGTCAGTGCGCACACACACACACACACACACACACACACACACACACACACACACACACACACACGCGAGGCACGCTCTGCCGTCTGTTGTTTTTCTACATTCAATAAGCCACAATGACAAAGTGAAAGTACATTTATATAAATTTGAGGTGATTTTGTTTCACATTGACATGACTGAAATTGGAGATTTCAGTTTTTGATTTTTAATACATTTTCAAACATTTCTAAAATACATGTTTTCACTTTGTTATTAAAGATTATTTAGTGAAGATTGATGAGCAAAAACTTTTATCCATTTAAAATTTAATCTTCAACATCGTAAATTGTGCAAAAAATGAAACCGCTGTATGTAGCTGTTCCAATGAACTATTAGTTCTTGTTCCTCCCGTCGTCGACACAGCGTGGTTGAATGTGTCGGAGGTCGAGCTGATGGTTTTCGTGCTGTTGCTCCACAGAGGCGATTACCGCACGGGGAAGCGTCTGAACATGAGGAAGGTGATCCCCTACATCGCCAGCCAGTTCCGCAAAGACAAGATCTGGCTGAGGAGGACCAAGCCCAGCAAGAGGGAGTACCACATCTGCCTGGCTGTGGACGACTCCTCCAGCATGGTGGACAACCACTCCAAACAGGTAACGCTGCCCTGTTGTCTTACCTTATACCTGCCGTGCTGCTCTTCACACGGAATAGACACAGTCAGAAAGTCAGTATCTAACACATGACCCCCCGCTGTGTGTGTGTGGCGCTGCAGCTGGCGTTTGAATCCCTGTCAGTGATCATCAACGCTCTCACTCTGCTGGAGGTCGGCCAGGTGTCTGTGTGCAGGTGAGAACGCTTTTCTTTTTTTGTTCTTGTTTTTGGTTTATTTGCACGTTGCTGATGCTCGGGTGCAAAAGATGAGACGTGCAGATGTGCAGTTTGTTATCGAACGAACTGATGTGACGTGTTTAACATCTGCCCGTGTCACAGTTTTGGCGAGCAGGTGCAGCTGCTCCACCCCTTCCAGCAGCAGTTCAGTGACGAGTCCGGGGCTCGGATCCTCAGACTCTGTCAGTTCCAGCAGAAGAAGACCAGGATAGCACAGGTGAGAATCCTCCACCCGCTGTCGTTCACTCTAACCCGACGTCCCGGCTCTCGACCGTGAATCCTTAAACATGAATTTTGTGATGAGAGTGACTGCGATCAGAATGCTGCAGTGGATGCTGGGAGTCAGGGAGAATCGTTTATATCGAATCATGATTTACTCCTGACTTCGATAATGTGTTCCCACAGAGAGATGAAACAACATAGCTTCTCTGTGTGAGCATCCCTGCCTCATAGAAATGTAGAAATATTTCTAATGGAATTCAAGAAAACTTTATTTACTTTTATTTTTCCACTTTACAAAATCAGTCAACAGAGATATGAAGGAAGTACGGCCACTAGGTGGCGCACTGGAGGATCTCTCTGGGTCCTCCAGGTGTTACTGACAGAAAGATGATAAGCACAACTCTAAACCAACAGACTACATGAAACAGACTTTTTTAATGGTGCAGGAGAGTGAAAATCACATTTGATGCTACAGATGAAGACAAGGAAAAGGCAAAGAAAAGTCTATTATGTTTATTATGTTATTTTTCCTTAATCAAAATGAGTTCTTTGCTCTATTTCCCCTTCACCTCGCGGTTAAACGTCCCTCCCCTCAGACTGACTCTTCATCTCTCTCCTCTGTAGTTTTTGGAGACGTCAACCAAAATGTTTCTCGCAGCTCGGCAGCAGATTCCAGGATCTATGAACTCAGGTAACAGCTCATACACACACACACACACACACACACACACACACACACACACACTGTTCCCCTGTGACCTCTGACCTCTTTTAGCTCGTTGTTTTGGGTTTTTGGCTCATAAATCCTGTTGTAATCAATCACAAGGTGGAGACAAAACAGCTAGAAAGAGAGTGAATATGAGCACCAGTGTTGCTCTTGTGTCTGATGTTAAAATAAATAGCTGTTTACTTGCTCATTCACTTTCACCAACCAGGGAACCAGCCGTCAGTAAGAACAAGGAACCATGATAATTTCACTGACCTCCCGTGATTTAACTTCTCTTTTCGCCGTTAGCTTTGGAAAAATGTAGCTTATGCAAACAAACCTACTTAGTTTCCATGACGAGCTGCATGTAAATACCCTCTACTGTTCCCCTGTGACCTCTGACCTCCCTCCACAGACACGGCCCAGCTGCTGGTCATCGTGTCCGACGGCAGGGGGCTGTTCCTGGAAGGGAAGGAGCGGGTGATGGCAGCTGTACGAGCGGCACGCGGCGCAAACGTGTTCGTCATCTTCGTGGTACTTGACAACCCCAACTCACGGGTGAGAACGGCAGAATTTGACAGTTATTATATTTTCTAAATTTCTAAACACAAAGTGTAACGAAAACTGTGGTGCTGTTGCTGCAGGACTCCATCCTCGACATCAAGGTGCCCATATTCAAAGGGCCGGGAGAGCTCCCAGAGATCCGCTCCTACATGGAGGAGTTCCCCTTCCCCTTCTACGTCATCCTGCGAGATGTCAACGCCCTGCCGGAGACCCTGAGCGACGCGCTCCGGCAGTGGTTTGAGCTTGTCACGGCGGCCGACCAGTAGACCAACGAGAAGCCATCTTTCACAGGAAGGGAGAAGCGGGCAGCGACCAACTGCACAATGCCACTCGGCTGCCAGCTTCTCAACCAGAACTGAGAAAAAGAAAAGAGAAAGACGGATTTGCCGCTGTACATGTGCCTTTATTTTCTTATTTTTACTGTAGATTTTAGTAGAGTTTAATAGCAACCTTTGCTGTTTTTTGATCTTTGTTATCAGGGTAATTCTCTGTTTCTTTTGTAAACGTCACAAGGATTGCTTTAACTTGCACGTCTCAGATGAAATGATAGAAACAAAAAAAAATGTGATTTTCATTGCGTGTGAACCACCTCAGTGAAGAGTCAGTAAATACCTCTGTCCACCTTGTACAATAACCCTCCTCCCCCCTCCCCCTGAAATCATTTGTTCCTTTGTGTGGATGTTATAGTCAGTGCTGCAAAGATCATCAAATCTTCAATGTGAACGCAACAGCAGATGTACAGAGCTGGGTTTTTGAACGTCAGGACTGAATCGTAACTTGTCGGCGCGGTCGTGACCCGACATTCAGAAGAACTCAAAGAAACATGTGCCTTGGGAGAGGAAAACAGTTTTTGCATCTCACTTCACACCTGAATCAGCTGTCGGGGTGATGGATCAGAGGCGCGGCCACAGCTCTGTCGAGATTTTTAATGAAATTCAGATCTCATGCACTTTGAAGCACAGGGACTGCAGACAACACTTTTGAATAAATGCCCCAGTATGACCAGTTTTTGTGGTTTAAAGACGACATATCTGCTGTGTTGATCTTCCATCCATAACTTGTGTGACTTCTGCTAAACGAGAGCTCGGAGCTCGTCACTGTGTCTGTTAGGAGTAGGTGTCGATGAAATGTTTATTATCATCTCTGTGTTTTGTAACGTGGACATACATGTGAGCAGATGTCGACATTATTTAAGAGATGGTTTCTTCATTGCATCGATCTGTAATACCATGACACAAATGATCCTGACAATAAACAGTTTACAAGGCTGCTCTGTCTGTGCTTGTGATCATTGTTATCATCCTCCGCTCCACTAGGGGGCAGTAAACACTACATTAGCCTGTTAGCGTCATCACAACATCCGCCTGAGAGGCTCACTGGTCTCGAGGAGTCAAACATGGCAGTGTCGAGGTTACCGACCGCAGCTCTCTCTCTGAAACAGGTAAATACATGAAGCTGTGGAGGTGGAAGTGTTTCCATCTCCTAAAGATGAGCTGGTCTGTACTGACGGGACTGTAGTAAGTGCGTAGGTCAGTCTCAACAAGGCAAAAAATGTCGTAGTATAGTAAGGCATCTACTGTCATAGTATAGTAAGACAAACGTCAAAAACACAGTATACTAAGGCATAAAAACGTCAAAAGACGTCATCTTATAGTAAGACAAAAATGTCAGAAAACGTCATAGGATATTAAGACATAAAAACGTCATAGTATAGTAAGGCAAAAAACGTCATAGTATAGTATGGCATAAAACGTCAAAAAACGTCTTGGGTATGAAGGCATTAAAACGTCATAGTTATAGTAAGGCATAAAATGTAAAAAAAAAAAAACGTCATAGTATAGTAAGGCATAAAATGTAAAAAAAAAAGTCAGTATAGTATGGCATAAAACGTCAAAAAACGTCATAGTCCTAGTTAAGCAATAAAAAAATGTAAAAAAAAGACACAAAAAAAAAAAACCGTCATGAAGTATAGGTAAGTGCATTTAAAAATGTGTAAAAAAAAAAAAAACGGAAGTCTCATACGTATAGTAGTGGCAATAGAAACGTCGAAAAAAGGTCATAGTTACTGTTAATGGCATAAAAAGTGTTAACAAAAAAAAAAAAAGTCCATAGTTATAGTAAAGACGCATTGGAAAACAGACAGAAACACATCATCGTTCTGTAAAAGGGCTATAACGAAAATATCATGGTGATAGTGTGTAAGCAATAAAAAAACGTCAAAAAAACGTCCAAAGCTAATAGGGTATGGAAAACGAGCAATAAAACGTAAAAAAACGTACAATAGTATAAACTGGCATAAAAATGGTCTAACTTAAACATCATTAGTATGTAAGTAAGTGCATAATAATGGTAAAAAATAACATAACACGTCCATGAGTAATGTGGTAAAGGCACTAAAAGTGTAAAAACCGGTCATAGTATTTAGTATGCGCAGATAAAAATGTAAAAAAAAAAAAGAAAGCATACAAAGTCAATTAGTTAGTAAAGCTGAAAAAACGTCAGAAAAACATCACGTTTAGTAAGGGCATCAGAGAACATATGGCTGATATGGTATAGCTATGGGATAAAGACGTCAAAAACGTTCATAGTATAGTAAGGCAGTAAGAAATGTTAAAAGAAAAAAAGTATAGTAAATGGTAGAGGGCATAAAACGTCAAAAAAACCGGTCATAGTATGTAGTAAGGCATGAAAAACGTAAGAAAAACGTTCATCGTTTAGTTCAACATAACACATATTCATACGTATATTATAGGCATAAAAACGTCATAGTATAGTAAGGCATAAACATTGTGAAAACAAAAAAAAAAAGTCATAAGTAATATTAAGGCATATAAAGATGTAAAAAAAAAGAAAAAAGGTCAAGTTATGCTATGGCATAAAAAACGTCAAAAAACGTTTCAATTGTATAGTAAGGCATAAAATGCAAAAAACTTCATAAGTTATAGTAATGGCGGTAAAACATTCATAAAACGTCATATATATCAGTAAAGGCATAAAATGTAAAAAAAAACAAAAAACGTCCATAGTACTAGTAAGGCCATTAAAATGTAGAAAAAAAGAAATAAAAAAAAAGGCATAGTATAGTATCGGCATACAAACGTCAAAAAACCGTCATAGGTATATGTTGCATAAAATGTAAAAAAAAAAACGTAATAGTAATAAGTAAGGCATAAAATGTAAAAAAAAAAGTCATAGTTAATAGTATGGCATTTTAACAACGTTTCAAAAAACGTCATATGATAGTATCTGCAATTAAAAATGGTAAAAAAAAATAAAAAAAGCATAGTAATAGGTAAGGCATAAAATGTAAAAAAATAAAAGATATCATATGTATAAGTAGAGGCATAAAAAATGTTAAAAAAAAAAACAAAAGAACGTTCATAGTTATAGTGAGGCATAAAATTTTGTAAAAAAAAAAAAAAAAAAAAGTCAGTAGATAGTATGGACATAAAACGTCAAAAAACGTCATAGTTAATAGTAGGTTCATAAAATGTAAAAAAAAAAAAAAAGTCCATAGTTCTAGTAATGGCATCAAAAGCGTCAAAAACGTCATTAGTATGGTAAGCATAAAATGTTTAAAAAAAACAGTCATAGGTTATTTAGTATGGCATAAAACGTCAAAAAGGGTCATAGCATTATAGTCATGCATAAAAACTGTACTAAAAAAAAAAAGCACATAAGTATAACGTATGGCATAAAAAACGTCAAAAAACCCGGTCATAGTATCAGTATGGCATTAAATGTAAAAAAAAAAAAAAAAAGTCATAAGTATAGTAAGACATAATAAATGTAAACAAAAAAAAAAAAAAAAGTCATAGTATAGTAAGGCATGAAAACCTCAGAAAACTCATCCGCTTTAGGAAGGCACTAACAATGTCATAGATATAGCTTATGGCATAAAACGTCAAAAAAACGTCATAGTATTAGTAAGGGCTATAATACATGTGAAAAAAACATCATAGTATAGTAAAGGCATAAAATTGAAAAGAAAAAAAACGTTCATAGTATTATAAAGGCATAAAAGTTCCAAAACAGTCATACGTTTTAGTAGGCATTAAAAAGTCATACGTATAGTATGGACATAAAAATGTAAAAAAAAAAAAAGTTCCCATAGTTATAGTTGGGCATAAAAACATCAAAAAACGTCATAGTACTATACTGTATGGATAGGAAACATCAAAACGTCATAACGTATTAGTATGGCATAGAAAACGTTCAAAAACGTCATAGCCCATAGTAATGGCATAAATGTAAAAAAAAAAAAAAAGTCTTTAGTATAGGTAAGGGCATAAACGTCAGAAAACCATCATACGTTTTAGTAGGAATAAAACTAAATATCATGGTATAGTATGGCATAAAATCTCAAAAAGAATACATACTATAGTTTAGAGGCAATATAATGCTACAACAAAAAACCGTCCATAGATAGTTATGGCATAGAAATGTAAAAAAAAAAGAGAAGAAAAAAAGTCATAGTATAGTAGTAGGCATGGAAACGTAAGAAAACCGTATCGGTTTCAGTAAAGGAAAATACAAATATCATAGTATTAGTTATGGCATAAAACGTCATTAGTAAATAGAGCAAAAATGTAAAAAAAAAAGTCCATAGTATAGTTAGGCATAAAAACGTCCAAAAAACGTCTTCATTATGTATATAGTATGGCATAAAAGTAAAAAAAAAAAAAACAAAAAGCATAGTAATGGCATAAAATGTAAAAAAAAAAAAAGAGTCATAGTTAATCAGTCATGGCAATCAAAACTGTCACAAACAAAAAACATAGGGCGGTCGTTGATAGTATGGCATGAAAATGTAAAAAAAAAAAAAAGTCATAGTATAGTATGTATAAAATGTAAACAAAAAGAAAAAAAAGGTCATTAGTATTACAGTAATGCATGCAAAACGTCAGAAAACATCATCGTTTAGTAAAAGGCTATACAAATTGTCAATAGTATAGTAAATGACACTAAAAATGTAAAACAAAAAGTCAATGAGCTAATAGTTAAAAGCTAAAACATCAAAAGAACAGTCATAGTAATGAGCGTATGGCAATAAAATGTTAAAAAAAAAAAAAAAAGTCAAGTATAGTAGTAAAGGCCATGAAAATCGTCAGAAAACATCATTCGTTTATGTAAGGCATACAAATATTCCATAAGTATATACGTATGGCATAAAACGTCAAAAAAAACGTCATAGTATAGGTAAGGCATATAAATGTAAAAAAAGAAGTCATAGTATAGTAATGCATAAATGTCAAAAAAATTGTTCATCGGAGCTAAGAGTCTAGTAAGTATGGCTAAATTGAAAAAAAAACAAGTCCGTAAATAAGTAAACGTCAAATAAGCTATAATAGATGATAAAATGTAAAAAAAAAAAAAGTCAAGTTATAGTTAGCATGAAACGTCAAAAGAAACGATCATACGTTAGTATAGGCAACAATGTATAAGATGACTAATAAAATTAGAAAAAAAGTCATTAGATATAAGCATGACGCCAGAAAAAAAACATCTTAAAAGGATACAGTCTAGTATAGTCTACATAAAAGTAAACAAAAACGTATATGTAAAGCATAAAGAAAACAGTTAGAAGGGGCATAAAATGTTAAAAAAAAAAAAAAAAAAACATCATAGTATAAGTATGGGCATATAAACGTCAAAAAACGTCATAGTATAGTATGGCATAAAATGTAAAAAAAAAAAAAAAGGTCTTAGTATAGGTAAGGGCATGAAGAACATCAGAAAACAATCATCGTTTAGTTAAGGCATATAACAATATCATGGGTATAGTATGGCATTAAAATTGTCCAAAAAACATTCAATAGTAAGTAAGGCATAAAATGTAAAAAAAAAAAGTCATAGTATTGGGTAAGGCATGAACGTAAGAAATAACGTTTCAAATCGTTTAGTAAGGCATAACAATATTCATAGTATAGTATTGAGGCATTAAAACGGTCATAGATATAAGGGCATTAAATGTTAAAAAAAAAAAAAAAGGTTCCATAGTATAGTAATGGCATAAACGTCCAAAGAATTATTTGTATGAGGTATAAGGCATAAAATGTAAAAAAATAAAAAAAGTCATAAAGTATAGTATGGCAGTAAAACGTCAAAAACATCAGAGTATGATGTAAGGCATAAAATGTTAAAAAAAAAACAGGTTTCATTAGCTATAGTATGGGCATAAAATGTCAAAAAAAAGTCATAGTATAGTATGGCATAAAACGTCAAAAAACGTCATAGTATAGTATGGCATAAAATGTAAAAAAAAAAAAAAGTCATAGTATAGTAAGGCATAAAATGTAAAAAAAAAAAAAAAAAGTCATAGTATAGTAAGGCATGAAAACGTCAGAAAACATCATCGTTTAGTAAGGCATAACAATGTCATAGTATAGTATGACATAAAATGTAAAACATAAGTCATAGTATAGTAAAGCATAAAACATCAAAAAACGTCATAGTATGGTATGGCATAAAATGTAAAAAAAAAAAAAAGTCATAGTATAGTAAGGCATGAAAATGTCAGAAAACATCATCGTTTAGTAAGGCATAACAATATCATAGTATAGTATGGCATAAAACGTCAGAAAACATCATCGTTTAGTAAGGCATAACAATGTCATAGTATAGTATGACATAAAATGTAAAGCAAAAGTCATAGTATAGTAAAGCATAAAACATCAAAAAACTTCATAGTATAGTATGGCATAAAACGTCAAAAAACGTCATAGTATAGTATGGTATAAAATGTAAAAAAAAAAATAAAAGTCATAGTATAGTAAGGTATGAAAACGTCAGAAAACATCATCGTTTAGTAAGGCATAACAATATCATAGTATAGTATGGCATAAAACGTCAGAAAACATCATCGTTTAGTAAGGCATAACAATGTCATAGTATAGTATGACATAAAATGTAAAGCAAAAGTCATAGTTTAGTAAGGCATAACAATATCATAGTATAGTATGGCATAAAACGTCATAGTATAATAAGGCATAAAAAGTCATAAAAACGTCATAGTACAGTATGGCATAAAATGTAAGAAAACGTCATCATTTAGTAAGGCATAACAATATCATAGTATAGTATGGCATAAAACGTCATAGTATAATAAGGCATAAAAAGTCATAAAAACGTCATAGTACAGTATGGCATAAAATGTAAGAAAACGTCATCATTTAGTAAGGCATAACAATATCATAGTATAGTATGGCATAAAACGTCATAGTATAGTATGGCATAAAATGTAAGAAAACGTCATCATTTAGTAAGGCATAACAATATCATAGTATAGTAAGGCATAAAACGTCAAAAAACGTCATAGTATAGTAAGGCATAAAAAGTCATAGTATAGTAAGGCATAAAATGTAAAAAAAAAAAATTTATAGTGTAGTAAGTCAACAAAACATCATAGTATAGTAAGGCATAAGAACGTCAAAAAATGTCATCGTTTAGTAAGGCTTAAAAACATCACAGTATATTAAGGCATAAAAACTTCATAGTTATAGTAAGATAAAAATGTAAAAAAAAAACAACATAGTGTAGTAACGCATAAAAAAGTCAAAAATGTTTTAGATTCTTAAAGTAAATGTGACTGTCCTGTTGAGTCTAAACTGCTGAGTCGCTCTCAGTTTTTACAGAGGCAGAGGATTTTGGGGATTTACAGAAACATGTTGAGGACCATACGGCAGGTACCAGACGAGGCGGACAGGAAGTACCTCAGAGACTGGGCGAGAGATGAGTTCAAGAGGAATAAGAGCGCCACAGACCAGGTAAAGAGATAGTAAGATTGTGTTCACCTTTCTATTGCTGTTGCTCAGTTTTCATGTCCATACATATTTATTGTTGTCATGACTACTACTTTCCATCACCTGTCCACAATAAACAGTGTTGTGTAATGTATAAAATGTATCAACATCAAATCAAGAAGTGGTGATTCGGCAGACTAATTATATGAACTCATTGTTGCTCACTGGCTTTTTCCTGGAGCTTTGAACCACATTTAACAGTCTTTGTATTTATGTTTCCAGCATCCTCTTCACGACCGTTTTCCCTCTCATTGCTTTTTCAGGACGCCATCCGCATGATGGTCACACAAGCTAACAACCATCTGGAGGAGCTGCAGAAGTCTCTGGCGCTGGCCAGAAGTTAAGGACTCAGAGCTGCTGGGAATCCCTGATGTGGACTTATCTGTGACAGTTCTCAGTGAAGACCATCATGTGGTTTTTATTGAGAAGAGACTCTTTAGTGCTGAGGGAAACCATGGAGATTGGGAAACCCCTCACTCTTGTGACTCATCATTACCTACTTACTTGTCAAGGATGGATTGATGGTGTTGACCTGAAGACATCGTCCTGCTGTTGTTTGTGCTGTATACATATATATGTATTAAACAGGAAGTAATGAAACAACAGGCAGATTTAAGAACAATCATTTTTTAATACAAAATATGTTTTCTGGCCTCATTATACAGACTGTATTATTCATATCCACAGAGTTCATGTAAAACTAACCCTGTATGAGCAGACAGTCACTACATCAAATGTACAGCAGACAGTTAATACTGCAACACAACTTTCTTCATACAACATCTTCTGATTGAATTCATCTTAAAAGGTCAAGATTGTCCTTTACAGGTAAACATGATTGGCAGGGAAACCAGATTATCGGTGTTCAACTGATCAGAACTTGGTTTATAGTTGTCACCTGTAGTGAGAGATCAGCTGATTTAGCCACAAACAGGAAGTATGGGCACAAGCTTGTAGTAGGTCATAGTTTTGTGTCAGAAGCCAGTGTTGCATCATCTTTTACTGTCCATTTTAGTGGATTGTAAACACTTTCTTCCCCTCTCACACTTCCTAAGACACTAGGGTTAATATATATATATGGTTACTATCCATTACACAGCTGAACTGTTGAGTGTCTACAGAAACCTCCAGAAACATGGTGTGGATGGCAGTAGGAGGATGGATATGTCAAAACTGTATTTATGTGGCAGCAACTTTTTAGCTTGAAGTTAAAATTAGTTCACAGGTTTGTAATGTCAGATCAATGGAGTCTGGAGGGCGCTGTGGCAACTGAACAATAATGCGCTTTTACAGTGTTTAATATAATCAATTAAAGACGTCCCTTTTTATAGTCAAAATAATATTTTTTAAAACTGAAACAAAGAAAATAGAGGTTTTTAAATGCTCCTTCATTGTACCTGTCAGAGCCAATCACATTTTTATTTAAAAAGTCATCTTTAAATTAAACTGTAAATGTTAAAACTGGGGACAAATAAAAGTGAGATGGAGAAATTAGTAAATGGAATACCAAAAAATAAAGATTGGAAATTACTTATGAACTTACTTACTAATTTTAACATTTCAGTTCATTGTTTTTAGCCAGAATAACCAAATGTTACATATATATGTGTGCGTGTGTATATACATTTATATAATAAATGTGTGTGCATGTATATATATACACACACACAAAAACAGACAGGTGACAAATTAGATTAAAAACTTGAACTGGATGTCAATGACCCACATCCATAGGACACAAGGCATCACTGGTTTGTCCTTTAATTTGCCAGCCGTCTGGATGTATATCAATACATATGTATGTGTGTATATATTTAAACTTTTAATTAAATTGTCAATGAATTAATCAGTTCATTTATTACTTTTCAAACTTTGTATCAGTTTAGAAATTAATTAAAAATAAATTAATTGTATTTAAACACTGTAAAAGTCTTTAAGTCTTCTATTGTCATTCTCCAGCCTCCGTACAAATCACACCATGCAGCACAATCAAATATCAATACATTTAAAACAAACCTTCACTAGGGTTTTTATATACAGTGTCAGTTCAGCTACATTCTCATAAATAAGCAGTAGGTTGTTCCTTTAAAGTCACAAGGCTGATTCCAGCTTCTAGATACCAACAAAAAGCTTATTGTACTGTAATTCCCTCCATGCAGACAGAATTCACTGTGATTCAGTTATACTAATGTGCACATTTATGTCTGATGTGCAACAGGAGAAATAAAATGTATAAACGTCTCATTGTGTTATTCAAATCAGTAGATTTAGTGTGTTGTTAGACAAATATATGCTCAGTGTTGATGAGATGTAATGTATCTAACTATAAGTAGAGGAATCTGTCTGTAAGTTTGAATTTCTCCCCACAACCGCTCATTCGACTGACTTTTAACTTGGCGGGTGAAGGAAGTGCAGCGTCGACTGTGAGGTTTTCAGATGAGTAGTTGTGAAGAAAATCCACAGACCTCAAACGAGCACTGCACCAGTCTTATAAATGGCACATTAGATCAATGTTTTGACAGCTAGCTTTAAATTAACTGGTTTATTTACAGCACAGTGTAGAGCTGCCCCTATTTCTATAGTACTGTATGTACACATCTCAACACACCAGCCCGCCGCTACCATGACAACCAACAGGAAAGGATTTTGGATGTGGGACATTTTTAGTCATCTGTAAAAAAAAGAAAAAGAAAAGTGGATCCAGGCCCCACAGCACTTAACAACTCAGTATGGCTGTGACAGTTCGGTTCTTTGTGTCATAAATCTAGATCATGTCATCAAATCTAATCCCACACTGGTTTTGTGTGGTGTGTACAGTGTGGTGGTGACAGATGGGCTCTGTGTTAGCTGTCGTCGTGTTTGTCAGTCCTCAGCAGGCGCAGCTCGTCCTCCAGGTAGGCGATCCTTTCGATGAGGGCGGCTCTGTCGGCCTGAGCCCTCTCGTTGGCCTGCCAGCGAGCCTCCTGCACCTTCCTCTCGTACCAGCGCTCCATCTGCGTCGACACGGCCTCAAAGAAGTACTGAGTCACCTCCATGGCGTGCATGTTGTCCCGCTCTTGAGCAAAGGTGGGGTCACTGGGCTGGTCTCCAAAGACCTCCAGAATCCTGGGCCCTGTGGCTCCTTTGGATTTACTCCTGCCTTGGGGAAGTTTTTTATGGCGCCTCCCTCTGTCCCGGCCTCGCTCCTTGTCTCTGAGCCCAGCTTCACCACTGCTGCTGCAGCGGTGCTCTGTGGCCGGAGACAGGCTGCTGGCTCTGTGGCCTCTGCCTCCACTAGCGCCGCACTCCACTATGTCCAGGTCCTGCAGGTCCTTGTTCTTCCTCTGGGGGTCAGCACAGATCACCGAACGCTCCTTCGGCCGGACCACCTGGACAGATGACAGTGACCTCTTGGCTGCTGCAGGAGAGGCAACTTCTGCGTTATGTGCCTTATCGCAATCTGTTGAAAGTTCAAAAGAGACTCAGTGAGCAGATTCAACCACACACAAACCACTGGACAATATAATTCATTATTATTCATGCCATCCTGCTAATTAGAACGAGTATAACTGAATCATGAACAACTCAGTGATATTCTGCTCCGGCAGTGATGATATTCCTTCCAAAAAGGTCACAACAAAGAAACAGTGCACTTAGGGTCATTTCAGAAGCCTTTATCCACTGCAGAAAGGGAATGAATGTGATGTGGGTTCAGAAGTTACATGTGATATAGTTTGACAATGTTTAAATAACAGCAGGTGAATGATTTACAGTCAGAGTGCTTATACTGTATCTTATACACAACAATATACAGCAATGGTGACTTTTAATAGGTTCATCATTTACCGTTTATTTCAGCGTTGATTTCCTGTTTGTAATTTACAGGAAACAGTTGGCACAAATGAAGATTTAGACTCAGTGTCTCTGTCTGTGTTTAATGAGAAAGTTTATATGTTTGTTGAGGACGAACCTGGAGAACTCTCCACATGAACCACAAAGTAGTGATTGGCTGGACCGCCCTCTGCCACGCTGGCTTCCCCACGGCTGGAGTCCAGGAGTGTAGGACTGTGGTGGAGCTCTGGACAGAGGGAGCTGTCCCCGTGTCCGGCGGGCAGCACGGTGAGCCCGGCGCCGCCGTCGGCTTCATTCAGGCCCTCGGCCACAGAGGAGGAGCGCTGCAGCTTGGTGCTGCTGGGGTCTCCTGTGAATCGAAACTCCATGTTCTGCAGTTTGGACAGACACCAGCTCTTCAACTCACTGACCAGAGACGCCTGCTTAAAGGGCAGATACAACCACACACAAGACATGATGATATTACTGTTATTGAACATTTAGTTCAGGTCACATTTGTTGAACATAAAAAAAAATTTGAAGCGGCAGTAATCTAAATTTTTAAGAATAGAAAAATGAAATGTAAAAAGATGTTGCACATGGAATTCATTGTTTTTGTTTTTTTATCAATCTGGTTTCCAGGGGCAACATGAAGCTGTTTACAGTGAAAAACCTCTGATAAACCCTCCCTACACTACCTGCCCAGCACCAGACAGCAGACAGACACAGTCAGACACTAACTGGTGAACATAGTGGAGCATTTAGCAGCTAAAGAGACGGACATCTTTCTCTGGAGTTTGTAGAGACCAAACCAGAGCTAAAAGAGACTTCAGAGAGAGAGAGAGACCACATTTTGAGTCAGTGTTTCTGTCCCAAAAGCTGGTCAAACTAAATGGCATGCAGCCATTATTGATGTTATCTATCACACCTGCATTTGTCCTTCTATGACAAGTCAAAATTGTGAGAGAAGTTAGAGGTGGGCAGAAAAAAGTGCAGCTGTGTCTTTATTAAATCCTCCACCATAAAACTGACCATCTTTTATAAGGTATAATCAGAACTGACATTTTCAACATGCCAAGTTCAATTTTGTTTTCCATGATGACTTCATCGACCACAGAGCCTTGCAGACTCCAGCTGAGTGTGCACAGAGACGAGGGTGGCACTGCTGTTAATGTTACCTGTCTCTTCTCCGCCTCCAGTCGCTCCTGCAGGGCCCGCTGCTCGATCCTCTGCAGACACTCGCTCCTCTCTGCTGACACTCTCTCCACCGTTATCTTATCAAGAGCCAAGATCTGACACGGGTAAACAACAAGGATACAGGTAAAAATACACAAGGGCGTCTTGGTTGTTTGAATTATTTGCTGTTAGATGTCCTCTAGTTTCATAATTCTGTATATATTATACACTGTTTTACATTCTAGATGCAAGTAAATGTGGATGTTTTAGAATACAGCAGTGTGAGTAGTGGGCCCTATAATTATGCACAGGTGTGTGCCTTTTTTTTTTTAAACCATGTCGAATCAATTCAATTTGTCACATGTGATCTCCAGTTCTAGACACATCAAGTATAATTAAAGCAAACAGGATGCACTTGACCAGTTTGGAGCCACAACAAAGGCTCTGAATACTTTGGTAAATGAGAGATTTCAGTCTTTGATTTTTAATAAATTTATTTCTAAAAACATGCTTTCACTTTGTTATGATGTGTTATTTAGTGTAGCTTAATGAGCAAAAATGCAATCTTATCCATTTAAAATGAAATCCACAACACAATATGTGTAAAAAGTGAGGGGGTACTTTCTGCAGCCACTGTAACTCAACTAAAGTGAACTTAAAATAGAAATTATTATTTGTCACACATACAGCCAAATAGGATTACACACTGCTATGCTACGTGGTGTTAGACAGCGTTCTCCAGCACCATCATTAAAACCAGGAGGAGCATTGGAGCCGTTTTAGAAGCTCATGGTCGATCAAAACCTTACCACAGTGCGTGTTGGTAGTTCCTATTTTTGTATTTTGTTGTTGCGTGTGTATGAGAGTGTCCTTCCAGCACACAGAGCTTTATCAGTCCCTCAGTCTAAGAATTGTTTACCTTATACTTCACCTTGAGCGCGCATACCTTCTTCTGTTGTTCTGATCGCACTGATTATGAATTCCTGCCTACACCCACTGTTGTGTTTTCTCAAGCAGCAGCGATGCTCGGAGTACACGCATGAACGGCTGATAGAAGCTTTTATCTGAAGCGTCTTACAGTATTGTGGGAGAATGTATTATGCATGAAGTGGCTCCAGGAGGAAAAGAGGCCAAAGTCACTGTACTGTTACTACAATGTCCCACCCTGTGAAAAACACAGGGAAGAGAACCCCCTAAAACACGCAGCGTCAGAGATGTGTTGTTTCTGTTCAGCAACACGGCCACAGTGAAGCTTTTGTAGATGCCAACTGAACTCTACGTGACTCTGAAGAAACATGCTGGTAAGTTTGTTTAAAGCCTGTATCCGTCAGACGGAATCACTCCTATCAACTGCACTATGATTTAAAAGGAGCTATTTGTAAGTTTTGCTATTGCTACATAGCCACTGTTAGCATTAACAGCTGTTTACTTACTTAGAAATAGAAGCAAAACTAGTGTTCACTTTGATCTTGCTTTCCACCACTGGAGACAGCTCTTGGTGAGTAAAGGACTTGAAACGATTCTTCTAGACTAGTAGGTAAACAGCTGGTAATGCTAACGTTAGCTATGTCTTATACAGAATATCTCTGCCTGAAAGCCAGATCCTGGTAGCTCCTGATGGGTAAGGACATATCTGAACTTCTCGTAAACATCATCACAGATACAAGTCGTGTCTTAGGATAAAACAGGTAATAAAATGTTTTTTTATTTTCACATTATCAGAAACAGAGAAATGTAACCTGCTGTATGTAAACTGAACAGTGAGGGTGGTGAGGCGACTCCTTTTTCTTCATCTCATTAGCACCTTTCTGTGCGGTGATGAAAAAATCTTTGGAGGCGGAGGGAGTGAGGCTTAACAGTCACATAACAGAGCAGAGGTTTAGATAGGGACCTGTCTATGTTTCATGTGATCGCACAAAAATTAAAAGTCTCTGCAAACGATGTTATCTTTTTAAGGACAAACTGCAGTTGATTATGACGGAGCGCATGATTCAGACCAAATGACTCCTTTCTTCTGTGGAGCGTGTAAAAGCTGCTGCGGTGCGTGAGCTCGTGTGTCTTACCTGGTGTTTGTTCTTGCGGTCCAGCTGACCCATCTTGCTGTTCATCAGGTCTTGGACGGTGTGGATCTCAGTCTTCATCTCCTCCTTGGTGGCTTCCAGCTGGTTCTCCAGTTTACTGATGAGCGGTTCACAGCGGCAGCCGTTCAGAGGAGCCTGCGACACAGTCATCAAACTGCTCAAATTCATGTTTCAGTTGTTTTTTTATACAAAATCCGTTAGTCCTACTTTTTACTGAGAAACTTTGATTCATGAGTCAAAGGGACGAGTCTTTCTTACAAGTTTTATTCAGCATCACATAAAACATTTAAATTTATGGTGCCCTTTGGTAATTGGCAGATGGTTCAGTAAATCTCTCTGGTGCAGCTGCTCAGTGATAGATGGAAGTCATCCATAGATGAGCCAATCATTTGCATATTTGAAGAATGAATTTACCACATAACTGAGAAACTACATGAATAACAGTCTTAATCTGACTCAACAGGGGAGTGTTTGTGAGCTGACAGTACCTGCATGATCTTGCCATCCTTGCCTCGGTAAAGCGTGTAAAGCTGATAGGCTTTAAAGTTGTGTGGAGGGACGGCTGCATGAGGGGAGAGTCCTCGCAGTTTACCCTTCCTCTTGTGAAAGGCTTCGCCGTGCCTGGTCTCTCTGCGGCGGAGGGGCTCAGACATAAACGGCTGCAACAGCAACAGCACCTCAGATTAGTAATTACTCCAACGTACCTCTGACCTCTGACCCTGTCCAGATCTTGTGAGCAGCAGCGTTCAGCCTCTCAAACCTCACATGCAGGAACCTACCTTTTCTTTCTGCTTCCTGTTCTTTCCCCTCCTGGTATTTGACTCCGTCACCTCAGTGTGTTTGCAGGCAGCTCGGTCGCTGCTCTGGGTGTCATCAGCAGCAGATGCATTGTCCTGCAGGAAACAGGAAGAAGGAAAGGTTCAGTAGTGCAATTTCCTGGAAATGTTTAAACACTCGGGACACTGTAAAATCTTAAAAATGTAAAAGATCCAAAGCACGTTTTAAAGTTTCCCATAAACATGTGGTTTGTGCTGCTGATTGAAAGAAGCTCATTTCTAAATGTTTCCATCATTCAAATAAGGAAATTCACTAGGATCAAAAACACTCTGCTACTTTCCTAGTAATATTTACTCTTTGTTTAATCTCTTCAACCATCTTTAATTCACACTCTGCAGCCAAACTTTGTTCCCTTTTATATGAATTGTAGAGGAGATCCCAACGTTTCCAAAAAATGTGTCTAAAATGATGGACAAGACATCTGAAATATTTCTGTTTGATGGAAATGTGCAGCCACAAAAACATGGAGTCTTGGCTGTGGAAATTTCACTTAGTGTTAACTGAGTCAGGAAAGATTATGTAGACAATCCCATAACAGTAGAAGAGCTGTTTCATTAATGAAGACCCAATAATCACCAGGTTTAGACAGTTCAGTTCTCCCTCACGATATTATGAGAAATTTGTTGACAAACTGGCTCCTATCCTAACAACTGTTTACAGCTCTTTAGGGCAACAGCCTGAAACATTCAAAGGTTCTGACGAAGGTTGCTGGTATGAGGCTTTTCTACCGATTTCTACCGATTCTACCACCACGTAACTCAGATCAAGAGGGAGTCATGAAGAGAAGGTCAGACATCTTTTACATCTCACGTGGCTTAATCGTCATTAAAGAATCCTGATAGATGCCCTCTCTTCTTCTTGATGCCCTAAATGGGCAAATATTTCATAAAATATTGTGCTTTGAGGAGGTTTTTATTAAATCCAAGGGCAGCAGTAATAATGAGGAGAGTGATATCACCCTCTTTTAAATCTAACACACAGGACCATACAAGGAGATCGTCTCAGCCCTTGACTCCTGCCACCAGGTTAGGAACTGGCATTAAATGTGTCTTACATGAGGAGGAACACAAAATGTTTCTGAATCCTTTTCAAAAAATATCAGGAGAAGAAATACAGTCCACTGGCAAAAGAACTGAAGACATGCCAATACCAAACTTTCAATCAACATCATCCCATTCCAGTTTAAGTGGATTAAATGGATTAAGTGGATAAGTGTGTGTGTGTGGGTTATGAAGCAGTCAAACTGCCTCTCTGTTTCTTCACCACTGGATTGGAAAGTCTTTTAAATATCTCCTTTCTTAGAAACTCTCAGTCCTCAGCTCTCTGCTCTTCTCGCTGCTGCTTTCCTCTCGTTTTTTAATATTTAAATTGAATCTAATTCTAATTATGAATACAATAATTTACATTCACTCTGACACAATGGTCCAGCTCTTACCTTACAGGGCAGCATCTCATCTCTGGGCACCGACTGAGCTCTGCCCTCTGCCTTCAGCTTATCTCTCCTCTTCCTCACACTCCTGCCACGCACAAAGCTCTGCACCTGAACACACACACACACACACACACACACACACACACACACACACACACAGACAATTATTATAATCACAACTGGCATCGTAATGCGTGGTTAGTAAATAAAATAAAACAGTGGATTATTAATCCTTGAAGGTAAACATTCGTTTTTATAAACACACTGCAGGTCACAAACAACTTTTTAAAATGAGATTAGTTGAAACATTTTTGTTGCTTTTTTGTGACTTTAATCTCTTTTTACTATTTATAAATTTGCTGCTTTCTGTTTCTGCTTTGATTAAATAAGTCTTTAATTTCAGAGCAGTAGTAGACTAGTGGTACACAGTCAGGGATGTGCAGAGAAATAAAATTCCTGAGAAGCTTCTTGTATGGGCAGAGCCTCCCTCGAGTCTGGTTTGGCTCCAGTTGACCAGAAGTGGCCTTGAGTATCTCTACGGTTCAGTCTGTGTACAGGTTTTCTTACCAGGGACATTTGTGGTTTGTTGTTGGATTATGAGAAATTATGTCAGATTACCATTCCTATAATTTCTTATCTTTATCCAGGTATTATTGACAGTCTGTACATAGTCCAATCTGTGGTGTCTTCTGGTGTCATGATACAGACTCAAACAGCAGAGTTAACCTTTCTCCAGGAGATTGAGGTGTGTCTGAACACAATGCAACCTTTATCATTTATATTTTGAGAACAGCAAATGCAATCACGCATTAAATTCATTTTAGTGATTTTCCCCTGAGCGCTGTGTATCAGCCTCTAAGAAATGAATCACCTGAACATGTAACCGTTAAAATCTGTAAATCTATTAGTCGGGGGAATTTTGGAAAATATAAGATGTAGGGTTTAAGGAAAGAAAAGGAAAGACATTGCATGTCACAAATTTCATATCATAATAATATGAGCAATACACTGACATTTCACTGACATGATCACAAAAATGTATCTCTAAGTATGAGTTCTGTTTACAGCTGCGTGTACTGGTCAGACTGGGAGTTACTGGTTTCACCTGTGGAGCTTTGGTTAGAAGAAGAGCCACATCTGGGTTGTTATGTTCTCTGGCCTGGTCCAAAGCCGTCTCACCTGCCTGTAGAAACACAAACATACACAGTCCAAACGGGCAAAACAGTGGCAGAGATTTGGAACAAACTGATATTACGGAAAGTTCTTTATTCCTAATTCCAGGTAAGGTGAACTCTTGAATGTGAATGTCCTTCATGCTGTTGTCACGTCATGTAAACCACTCTGCGGTTTAAACTTTTATCAATTAACTCCACACATCCTGCACAGGTGTTTCAAATTAAAAATCGACCAACAGCTCAATGGCAACTATTTCCTCTTTTTCTGGATGGGCTTTTAAGGTGAAACAAATTATAAAGAAGTGTTGAGTGCCGTGCTGTTGAGACAGTAACTTAACAATGACTAGAAAAACAGCAAAGTGGAAGCTACAGGGAATCCATTAGTGAATATAAACAGTATATGTGTTTAAAAAGAGTGGTGAGTATAAGTATAGCACTGATTATGCTCAATTATGGTCGGACACGTCTGTATTTATTCTATATTTTGAGACTCAGTTTTTGTTTGACAACCACATTTTGTTTATTTATAGTAAAACTGTAACAGGAGACCTCTGTAAGTGAACTTGTGTGACCAGTCTTTATTACGATGTGACCCCTTTGCCTGTGGACACCAACATCAAATTTATTTAATGAGTAATGGAGTAAACAACCTGGCCGGATTGTTTTATAACAGAGAATTCAGCCAAAAACAATAAAAAAAAAATCAAATAAATAATGCTTATACATTGACATTAATAATGTGAAATGTAATTTTTAATTTATAGTGACTACAAACAACAGTAAATAGTGAAATAATATTCTATTTCTGACAAAAACAGCATAAACATTTTAAAAGGTGGGTTATAATTTATACATTTGTATCTGGCTTTTTAAGTAAGTGTGAATTATTCATTGACTGACATCCTAATTCTTCAGTTAGAGGTTTGTCCTCTGAGACACAGCCCATTCTGGTCTTCAATTAGATCCCCCACGGTTAGGTACAACTGCAGGAACCACGGCTGCACTCACATGACTTTTAAAATGTCCGAACTTCCCCGTGGTTTAATTGTTATTAAACATTGTTTTATATCAATACAACTAAATAGAAATTAGGCCAAGATTTAAAACATTGATGCTCAGAGGAGGAAAGCACAATATGAATGTATTCAGTGTGACACACCTGACAGGAGAGGTCAGGAGGTATTTTTTGTGACTTTTTTTCCTGGTTTCTTTTGTTTCCACTTCAGTTTTTGATGCACAAATTGAAAATGTGCATAAAAACAGGTGAATGTAAGTGAAAATTATGAAAATACTGAGTTGAAACTTGAGCTGAAATTTCAAAACTTCATTTATCCAATCCCTATTTTCAAATGTCTGAATCCTGCTTTTCTGTTTCAAAATTATTGTTTTTTCTTTCAAAATTTACTTTGAACCTTTCAAATCCTATTTTCTAATGTTAAAAAAATGTGATCCCAATTTAACCTCATGCTTAGAACAGACGACAGGAAGCTAGGACAGCTGCTTTGAGAATCCCTCAAGAGGAGACTGGTAACACAACAGAAATGCTGTGCTGACTTGAAGATGAAGAAAGACAAAGTGAGTGCACAAACACTTCCTCTGAGCATTAATGATGTAGAAAGAGGCCGCAGGCACTCACATTGTTGCAGATGCGGCTGTCTCCACCCGCCTCCAGCAGCAGACGTACTGTTTTCTTATGATTCAGAGCAGCTGCTACGTGGAGTGGTGTGTCCCCGGCCTGCACAGACACACAGATACACACAGACAGACAGACACAGACAGACAGACACAGACACAGAGACACACACAGAAAGACACAGACAGACACAGATGTGATGCTTTTTCAACCACTTCCATAATACAGAAATAAACTACATGATTTAACTGTATAATCCACATTTCATGACAACAGATCTAACAAACATACTTTAAGAACATGATTTTTTTTTTGAATGCATCCTAATTACAAGTGAATTAAAAATAGACCAGCCACCTTTACAAACCATCTATGATGATGATATATGATAACAGTTCAAATCCATACTCTCCAACGCCAGAGATTCTCGTACTGCACAATAACCACAGACAGGATTCTTCAGTATTTAGCTGGTGGTGAGTGATTGTTTTCTACTCAGTCAGTAACTCACCAGGTTCTTCTCTGAAACAGAGCAAAAGGCTCCCAGCAGGATGCGGATCATGGCCACATGGTTGTAGCGGGCTGCCACATGCAGACACGTGTCCCCTCCCTAGAAATAAAACTGAGAGATCAGCAACTTTTCAAGAATTTAATTTCAGTTAAAGCTAAAAGATGTGTCTCAGCAGAGCATGAAACATATTATTATAGAACTATAGAAATACAAGGGACAATTAATCATTTTTACAGGCTGGATTCTGTATATTTTAAAAGGTGCTGGAGGAAACAATCACTTGGCAGAAACAGAGGCAGAACAACTCGGGCTGAAGGTGTCTGAAAAGCTGAAACATAAGTAGTAACAAAAGATTCACAGGAGACGGACTGGTCCAGTATTATGACTACATGTGTTACACAGTTACAGTAGCATTACCTACTCAACACCTACACAGTACAACTGGGAGAAAGTTTATGTGAATTGTGGTCTCTATTTTAGAAAAACTATTTTTTCTTCTTCTGTGTTTGTTGTTATGCAACAAAACACCAAAGCAAATTCCTCACACCTACTTGGCAATAAACCTGATTCTGATTCTGAGAACAGAAGCTGCCACTTGTCTTAAACTTGAGCTCCTTCTGCTTCAGGTGATTACACTGAAAAGCACCGCTCATCCGAAAAATAAAGATAAAGTGGTTGTTAGGGAGAAAATCTTATTATCGATGGTTGAGGTTTTCAGAGAAGGAAAGACCGGTGGAGCCTGGATGTCTTACGCTGAAGATGTTTATTGAGCTTATTGAGCCAAGGAGAACGGAGGAATCATCAATACAGGCAAATATGCATGATGTCACCTCAATTCTGACGAGAGTCCCGGTGTCTTTCCCTTAAGTAGCCCCAAAGAATGGCAAAGATAGTGTATTCTCCATATTTGGTATAATATATAAAAAGGAATGGGGAGAGAGGGATGTGTGATCATTCTATTGGTTCATTAACCATAAACAACACAACTGATTTACGCTCGCCCAGGTGCAAGTCATAGAATGCCAACCACTTGTTGCTGGACATCCAAGGTCGGGCTCTATCTGTCTTAACTTCCTCAGTATCTGCAGTAACTCACAGATGTCTCTGGAGAGACAGAGAAACAGAGTTCAGACTAAACAGAGTTCAGACTAACCCTTCACTAACCCTTCACCCTCAGCTCTTACATGGTTCTTGCTGTCAGGCCTGGAGCCTCCCAGGAGCAGAACCTTGGAGCTCTGAGTGTGACCGTTCTGACAGGCGAGGTGGAGAGCCGTGTTCCCCGCCTGGAAAAGGAGGAGGAGGAATGAGTCAGTGTCAGCATTTATTAGTGTTGAGTAGAGTTTTTTTGTCATCACAAAAATCAGCTGTGCGTTTTAATCATCTCATTTAGGTTTACTCTGTATTGATTCTTTGACAACATCAATCATGCTGCTGCTGACACTTTCATCGTGTTTGAGCTTTACAGTTTGAGCCAGACATACGGAGGCATTTAAACTGTTAGTCCTGAATAGAAAACCTTCAAATAGAGCCCAAAGTTCTGTGCCATGACATCATTCTGTAGTGTAATAAACAACTATTAAAGACACTGAAGAATGTATATCCTGACAAGTCAGATATGGTGTGTAACTAGAGTTTATACACAGTAGGTTGGAGGATGTTTTAAGGATGTGTTGGTACAATTGCTTTATTTTATGATGAATTTCTGGCACTGAATACCAATCAGAAGGAAGGATTATTGGAACTGAGTTTGTAAGTGAACATATTTAATCAATGCTGTGGTCCAAATGTGGCCACTCCACTGTAGAATCACCTTGTTCTTTGCGTGAACGTTGGCTCCAGCTTTCACCAGCAGTTTGACAGACTGGCTGAAGCCATGCCAAGACACTTCATGGAGAGCAGTGTTGCCATCCTGACGGGACAAAAGACAAAAAGACACTTTAATAACAGCAACAGTTAGACTGATGCCCTGGACTTTATCTTTGAGATACTAGCATTTCTGAAGACTCACGTCCTTCATAGATTTTAGGGAACCCGTGGTGAATTATATTGGTACTGATCCAGTCCAGGCTGGTGGTGGTGGTGTAATGGTGTGGGGAATGTTTTCTTTTCACACTTTGGACCCCTTGATACCAATGTAAAGAGTTTTGACATCAAATGATAGAAAAACAAGGTAAAATAATGTGAGTGTTTATGGCTATAAACCCCTATATGTCTAACTAAGATTGTGAACAAACCATCTCTCTTACACTACTCTACTTTTCATGGGAGAATGAGGTTGAGCAGATTACAGACAGATTGGTTTCCCTCAGATCATCAGATGGCTTATGATGGCTTTGAAATGCCCCCTATCGGTCTGACTGACTGTAACAGAGGTACCATTAGCCTCTGTATGTGTTTTTATGTGTGTGTGTTTCTGTCTTTTGAAGTGCACCTTGTCCTGTCTGTCCAGTGCACACCCTTCCTGGATGAGAGCGCTGATAACATCACTGTTTCCCACCACGGCAGCCCGGTGTAACGCCGTCTGCTCCCCCTGTCAACAGAGGCAGAAACACACAACGCCTACATCAGTCAGCAGCATGACAAGAAAACAACCCACAGGAAAAAAATATCTATTCTGTCACATAAAAATCTTGGACCTCCAATATGACATTTTTATTATAGTGTTACTTTACAGTTCTCTTGCTCAATCATTTCATGTCACAAACGTTTATAAATCTTATTCAAAGATTCAAAGATATTCAAAAATTGTAGGAAAATGCTCTTGTAAAGAAATAGTTTGGTTATCGGGGACTTTGGTTTTAGCTCTACTTCCTCTGACTGAACAAACACATGGATGAATGAATGAAATTAGGTCAGTTTAGCTGGATGGCTGTATCTTAAGGGAGGGATATCTGGTCTGCAAGCCCTAATTTACATATTTGTAAAGTCTCGATTTACAGATAACAAACAGTCCAACCTTCAGGCGAATACACTTCTCCCTATTTGTGAGGGTGAGATGAGAATACTAATATTAATCTCATTTGTATATTCATTCTATAGACATCACTAACTGGATTAAATTAAATGAATTTTGTTATGAAAATAGTATTAAAAAAATTCCCCCAAAACAAACTATCCCTTTACATGCTGACAGCTTAAATAACTTTTAATAAGCACAGCAGGTATCCCCAATCTCAGCAGAGTTATTACTGATTTAAGCAATGATGATGTTAATTTGATCCCAGTGTGCCAGTTATACAGACCACAGAAAGTCCATCTCTGATAGCTCTAGTTGCTGTTGAGAGTCCACTGTGGTCTGTATAACCATATGAAAGCACTGAAAGTCCCAGGGAAAAAAAAAAAAAAAAAAAAGGTTCAGTTCACATTTATACTAAGCCATAAATGGAATTTCTGCACACAGAGCAGATTAGTGGTGAATGAGATTTAGCAAGCCAGGTTTGAAATTAGAGCGCTGGAGGAGCAATGAGCAGTGATTTCCACGAGAGAAAGAGGAGAAACAGGAAGGACAGGAGGGTGGGGGGGTCAAGCCAAGCTGGATAGGAACTGAGCGGCGGCAGCAGCAGCAGCAGCAGCAGCAGCAGCAGCAGCAGCGTTGGATGAGCAGCGTTTGTTCAGGGAAGGAAGGATGAGGGAACAGATTTCCGCTGCCTCAGTAGGAGCAGGTTTGGCTAACCTCCTTCACTCTCCCTGATCCTCCAGGCTCTTCCCCAGCCCTCCTCCACTGTCTTCTCCCCTCCTGTTCCTCCTCCTCTTTCTCCTCCTCCTCCTCCTCCTCCTGCCTCAGTCTGCACCTCCTGCTCCCTCCACTCCTGGAGGATGTACTGCAGCCTGTTGCAGAGCTCACTGACCACAGAGAGTGAATTTGGCAGCGCCAGAGATCTGGGTTATCACTATCTGTGGGGAAGGGGGACTTGCATCCTGAGGGCAACCCCACAAGTGGGAAGTCCAAATAGTCCCACTCAAGGCCACTAGAGGTCATTAGACTACAGTTGTGATTGTGTTAAAATAAAGAAATTAAAGTCTAAAAAAAAAAAAAAAAAAAAAAAAAAAATTATTCCAATTTAATAGAGCTGAAAGCAAAAAGAGAAGCAGCTGCTGGTGACCATCAATCAGGACCGCAGTGCAAGTCGGAGGTGGATGAGAGCTGCAAACACGGCCGACGCAGATGAGTCTACTCACGTCGTCTTGGATGTCCAGGTCGCAGCCAGCTTTGAGCAGGATGCGCACAACCTCAATGTGGCCTTTATAGGCGGCCAAGTGAAGCGGGCTCCTGCCATACTGTGGACACAAAACACACAAACAACTCAACCCACCAAACAACACACAGCAGTGCACGCAATGTAAGCACACAAAGCTGATTAAAAGACGCCACCACAGCTTTACCACACACCAAGTCACAGTGCTGTGAGTCAGATATCGCTGCAGTGTAAGTAACCGTGGTGATAGCTGGTGGCATGACGGAAGACAAGAGTACAATACATCTCAGTAATGAGTCGACAGAAAACAAACAGATCCTTAATCCATGGTTTAAGAGAACAGTGCACAATCAGTGCACAGCTGTCCATGTTAGCCGGGTAGAGGATAAACCCTGCATCCTGCCACTATAAGCATCTGTGGGTGGGCACTGAGGCAAAAAGGTTACTTAACTTTGGGGAGGTTTAAAGGATCTGTTCACCCAAATTACAAAAACTAATATTTTGTACTTGCCTCCGGTCGTGTCTAGCCATGCAGACAGCTTTGTTTAGTTTTATTTGCCCACGTCAAAGATCTCTGCTTCCATCCAAATACAGTGTAAATAAATTGAATTTCATTGGTGGTACTCACAGGATTGAAATTTTTTTTTTTTTTTTTTTTTTTAAAAAGCTAAATGTGTTTCCTACAGCACAGTCTATGGATTATTCAGAGTAACTAGATAAAGAACAACATGTTACTGTTAAATTTAAAATTTAAAGTGACGTTAGCTTTTTGCAGCCTTAATAACATGTATGTTGCAGTTGATGCTCCTGAAGCATTCGTTTTATATTAATTTACTCAGTCAATGTGAAACATTTAAGGGTATATGTATTTCTCACTATATGTTTCTAATCTTCTACCCCTCTGTGTAATGTCGTAAACTGTTATATAATGAATTGATGTCTGTCAGTTGTTATTTTCTATTGCACATGGGGTGATGTGATTTGGTTGCTGGTTTACAGCCACTGCGGTTTAAGATCTGTTTAAGGGCTAAAAAGAGGGTTAAATTTTTTTTCCACAAACAAGTAAAACAAAAAAAAAAAAAAAAAAACTATTTACATGCTATTTTTGTAACTGACACTGTGATAATGGAAAACGCAGCAGTTTGAATACTCTCTATGTTTTGATGATATATGGGACATCAACAGCAGGAAACTTTCTTTCAGCCCCTCAAACACATCCTGACATTTTTTGAGCATTACATCAAACATCCATCTCAATGTATTTCCGAGTTTAAATAAAGGTTGAATGAATGAATGAATGACAGAGCAGGATGTAGCCAAACACTCAAACTTCAAACACAAGATCTAGACAATCTCTTTTAATCTGTAATTATACTGAGTAAATACAGTTTAATGACAGATCAAGTGTGTTTCCCACACAACAGCACAAACCGCATTACACGCCAGGTATTATCTCAGCGTTTGAAGGTTTGTGCTTTTATTTGGGAGCGTCTCGGCTCTGCTCTGCATTCATGTGGTTCCTGGGGTTGGGTTACACTGGGCCAGGCTTGGAGGGAAGCCACCAACCGAGCTCAGGTAAACAGCAGGTCTCAAGCTAGCAGCTCTGTTGTCTCCAGACTGACTGAAGGTCTGTTTGTGGCTCTGAGGGTTTGGTTTTTCGGTGGCAGGCGGTATGTTGAGTTCACATCCTAATGTTCTGTTGGTTTGTGTTGTGTAAATTACCCAAAAGTAAATTCTGAACATATAAAGCATATGTTCAAAGATTGTTTAACGGGAACCTGAAATCCTCACTCTCCTTGCAAAAGAGGAGGATTTCTTCCCTGTAAAAGTGAAAATATACAGTTTGAAAGATTTCTTATAATAATATCCTGTCAGTCAAACTCTGAACTCTTCATTGTAGCAACTGAGAAGAAAACACTAAATCTGAAAGATTACTGACATAAACTGATCCACTAAAAATAATCTTTAATTTCTACCTTTAGTAGAAAGTACCAGATGTTTCTCATAGATGACTTCTCTTCTCCTGGTCTTATCTCCTTTGTCTTTTTATGAAAGAACCAGATGTTTTCAGATGTTTATATTTTGCAGTGATGATCCAAATAAGAGAGTTTCATGTCTATCCAAGCATTGACGTGCTCCAACTGCTGGTTACCTACATTTTCCATGCAAACTGTGAGGCCTGTCATTTCTGGAAGCCTGGATGCTAGAAAAAAATTGCTTTTCAAAAAGACATGTTTGAAGTCATGTAAACAGAGTTTCCATTCCATAGTGTGTTGACTACAGTTTAATTTTCCCCAGTCAAAACACAATTCACAATTCTTTAAAGGCCTATAGAGGAGTTTTCCTGATAAGACCTCTTCTGTGATCTGTGTGGGTGTGTACAGACTGTGTGTGTGGGTGTGTACAGACTTTGCCTCATTCTCGTGATAGTTTGTGTTGCATTTGTTAGGGTGAGACAACTCACAGCTTCCTCATTCTCACTGGTACATGTAGTGTCATGACCCCAGAGTGAAAACACCTGTGCGTTTTCATAACATAAATTAAAGGGAACATTATCAAATTTACGTGTTATAAACAGCGTGCATGCAGGTTTGATAAAAAAGTACTAAGATCCCCTAACTAACTAGCTTGAATGAAGAAATGAGATGTGTTTGAAAGCACCAGAAAAGCTAGTAAATGGACTTTTGAGTTCAGATTTTTTTTTTTTTTGTGCGTGTGTGTCAAACTACCATTTCCAAGGTTGAGAATGAAGCTACAAACCTAATGTATGTATGAAAATGAAATTGTTGAGATGTTTTGTTCACATTGTTTCATTTGTTTTTTCTAGTTACAAATAAAAACTCAAATGAAAATCAAGCTGTTTCTCTCACTGAGCGGCTGAAACAGTCGACCTCTGAACTCTCCAGATTGTAAACCCGGAGTTGATCAGGAGCTGGAAGCTAAAACATCACTCTCTTTTTCCTCCCATATTCATTACTAACCTCATCTAACGCCCTACTTAATCCTTTTGCCTTCTTTTCTTTTCATCTGATTTATGTTTTTCTTTCTCAGTCCCATTCATCATATTATCCCTACATTCCTTTTCCTGAGCGGAGGAATGTTTCATATGAAACTCTACCTCCTTTATCCCAGATTAAGCTTTTCATAATGGCGCCTTGCCAAAACACCCAAATACAGCTAGTTGGAACACAATCATGAGAGCGAGCAGTAGCACATGTCATATTGTTATAGCTGTTACAATATGATGCCATGTGTTCGTGTTCCCATGGAAAATTGGTTTGCAGTGCCAGAACAGAAAATGCAAAAACATGCAGGATAAAGCAGTCACACGTGAATAGTACTCAGCACTGGCTTTACATAAGATCTCTTTTATTTCAGGCATCTGATATAGAGTATATCAATAAACTAATTATTTCAGTTTAATCAAAACAAAGTTAAACTTGTTGTAATTCCAGGAAACATGAAGCTCAAAAAAAAACCCCTGTCGTTACTGTGTCTGGAGAAGCAGATTTATGACGGCCGCTCAGAGAAGAAATTCCAGTGTCTCGTCATTAGGATCATACTGCAGACTGTAAAGATAAACTGTGTGGAGATCTACAAGCTTTGATCTACACCGTACCTTGATAGCTTAAGTTTCTCCATTATGGAGACACAGATACAGGCTGTTCACATCACTACAGGTACATTAGTCTCAAGCTGCCCAGCACAGAGCCATGAAAACAATGTGAGGTCACAGGTCTGATAAAACTGTAACTGTAAACCATCTATGACAGAGATGCTGTAGACTTTAGTCTGGTAGTAACATTATACTATACTGCTAGGACGCTACAAGAATCCCCCAAAACACCTGAAACAAGACACACAACTATAGTACCATCACACGTAACGCATACTCACTCTAGCCCAGATCTCATGTAACCACATAACACAGGAGGTTTACACTTTTTTACACTGGTAAGAAAGTTGTTGTAAATTGTGTACAATATATGCTATGTCACAATGGACTGTTTAACAGGTGTGCCAACAGTAACGAAGGGGAACGGGCATAGCGAAGGGGTTAGAGACGGGTATTAGCATCTGACCACCTGTTATCACGTGACTTAAATTCCATAGTTGATGAACCCCTTAAAATGCAGTTAAAAGCTCTGGAAACAGCTAGTAGATTTCTGTGTCAAACTGCTACTTAAAAAAAACAAAAACAACTAATTTCTTCTTTTCTTTCAACATAATAAGCTGAGGTTTAAAGTCAAAACAGAAGCAGCTGTACAAGAACTTTGCTTTGCGTGTTGAGGTTTGATACCCAGCACTGATGAGGTACTCTGCCTGTTCTCACTGAACCTCATCTAAGATCAAGGCCATTTTTGTAGTTGAGCATTAGCACTAACTGGCACAAGGGAGGATTACATCATGTCTTTGTGAACAACCTTTGAACTCTGCTGTGTTTACAGGAAATGCGAGAGCTGGGATGAAAGAATAAAGCACAGCCTCAGGGGGCTGTGTTGCCTGACTGCGTGTCTGAGTGTCACCGTGTGTGTGTGTGTGTGTGTGTGTGTGGCTCTTAGACTGAAAGCTGTGTCAGTGTGATCCATCTGGCCACACAGCAGTTCAGCTGTGATACTGTTAAACATCTGGGTGCATACAATACACTGGCCACTTCTGGTGGGGGTTACTCAGTGTGGAGACAGTGTGCTGGGTCAATTCACAGTCAGCTAAATCTGAGTTTCATTCACTCTCAGCTGGTGAAACCTTTGTATTTTAATATCTAGGAAAAGAAAATTAACTCACTGTACAGTACAAGGATCTGAAGTATGGTAATCTGATTGTAAATCCAGGCTTCCAAATTCTGACATTAAGGAGGTGGCAAGCATGGAGGGTTTTTAGATATTTGCTCATGTTTCAGTATTACCAGGGAAAGGGGATAAAAACTGCCTAAAATGGAAACTGAGCAAACTCTGTGCCGTGATGAAGGAAGTAAGGAAGGAAATGATAAAAAAATTAAAAACTTTAGTACTTAAAATTAGGTATCAGATTGGCACTAGTATCAAAAACTTCAAAATGACACCCGACCCATTGGGCCAATCAGATGTTCGCAAAGGAAAGCCCGCTAATCCGAGCAAATCCAACAGAAACATCTAGAGAGAAGGTATTATCTCCTCACTGATATCACAGGCGACACAGTCATGCACAGTCAAGGTTCAGCAGCTCCAGTGCTATTAACACTTTTCACGCTCTGCTTTGTTTCTAACTCATTTAAGAGATGCAGATGAGCCAGAGGGGGGAAAGAAAAGAAAAAAAAAAAACACTGTGGTCGATCTGATATCATCATCAGAACAATTTGCATTTGCAAATGGGTCTGGAGCCTCACTTCATTTCCACTTTCCAAGGGGTGTTATTAATGGTCGCAGAGCAAAATGACTCTGGACGCAACTGGATAGACCTACAACCAATCAGAGCAACGAAGCATGTGACACAGTGCAGAGCAGAGCCAGTTGGTAAATTAACCTTTTACCAAATCCCAAGTTGGCAGTACAGCAAACACATCTTTTCAATAAATGGTTGTGATTGGCCCAACATGTCTGAACAGGAGCGTGGCCAGAGAGAGAGCAAATAAACATGAGCTCTTAAATATATTTGGTTAGTAGCAATTATGTTGATACTGAGCACGTCAGTAAAATATTCTCAGGTGTTTCCCGCTAAAATAAACAATCTTGCAATAAAATATCCGCTCATAAGCCACTACAACATTACTCAACCTTTTTTGTTGCCTAACCCTAACCACAGACAGGACTGAGGATGCCAAAACTCGACTACAGTGTGTCAGTCACGTGCATTTTACACCCGCCATCCTCCCAACCACCTCCTTACAAGTCTGCTGAAGTTAATAAATGTGCTGCTTCGTTCTTTAAATAAACAATGTTACCTCTAGGAGACAGTGGTGACCCTGCAGTGAAAGGAAGGTCTGACTGATGACTCAGCCAACCAAAACCCACAAACGAAAGAGCTGTCCCTGCAGTCCCTGCTATTTTCACTAGACTAGACCATGAGTCACACAACTCCACAATGGAAGTAAAATGACACCTTAAACCAAGACACTATAATACAGGCCACCAACAAGGAAGATAAAGTCAGTGAGTCAAATTGAGCAAACCAGTTGCTTCTGTAACTGAATTCACTGTGACACGATCAACAAGTCAACAATACTGTCAATGGAGGTCAGTTCATTTCATATACAGAACTGAGTCAGTGGGGATCAGTATAGGGGGTGTAATGAGAAACTGCAAAAAAAAAAAAACATGAAATAGGACAAATCTGTTTCGATCAATCTTCAAGTATATATATCTGTCACTTTTTGACGAATCAGAACGCATCCCTAGTAGTTCACAATGAGCAGCAGGTGGATTTAATGATAGTTGAGCTTTCTGAGTTTCTGTTAAAATCTGTTTTGCTTTTACACCACGAACTAAGTGCACAAGAGTTGGACTGTATGCAGGCTGAGAGCCACCTTTTAAAGCAGTCCAGCCTCAGTCCAGTTATTTTCCCTGCGCCAGATTTTCATTGACTGCACCAAAGAAGCAAACACACCAGAGTTGTTGGAACCAACTCAAACACTTCAGCTTCATCAAGAATGGGTCCATCTGTTGAATACAAATTTTTTTTTTTTGGATACCTTGTCAAGCACCAAATTGACTGACTGCAGTAATCGGGGAAAATTCCAGGGTCGCCCACATTATCAGAAATCCTCTGGGGAGCATGAATATCCTTATCAAAGTTCATGGTCAGTAGTTGTCAAGATAATTGTAAGTTGTTCAAGGCCAAAGTGTTAGATAGACAGACCAACTCTTCAAAAAGGTAAATAACACACAAGACACAACAGTATTCATCAGCACATTCAGGTCCACACACTCACCTTGGTGACTGCTACTTTTGCACCCTTGTTGATAAGCTGGACCACATTGTCGGCTTGGCCCTTGTGTGAAGCTACGAGGAGGCGCTCGGAGAGTGCGAGGACCTCAGCCGCATCCTGCTGGCTCATGAAGCAGGGCGAGTGATGCTGCTGTCTCCAGACACAGTGCTGCAGATGGTGGGGAAGGCAGCTGTGGCGACGGTCTCCGATGCCCTCTAACTCATGGTAAGCTTCCTTTCAGACAGAGGTGTCAAACAGGAGCTGGATAGGCCGCCAGTGCTGATTCTTCTGTTGCTACAAACTCCACAAACTCCCAGGATTCGTCCCCTTCATCCTCTCAGCTGCAGGGAAGAGAACAGGAAACACATGCTGTGAAAACAAGCCAGCATGTGCTCCACTCATAGTAAGCTGGCAAACAGGAAAACAAGGGAATGGGTAGAGTGGATTGCCATCACCACTGTCCAGGTTGCTAAACCCATACAATCCTCATGGGATCATGTGAGCTGGACAGAAATAATCTGCAATGAGAGCCAAAAAGAGGGGTCAAATTTGGTCACAGAGTGCCTGCTGTACAGCAAAGCAAGCCGTTCACACAGTGAGCCATAAAAAAAAAAAATCACAAGAACACAGTGCTAACTACCGTAAACAGCGCAGACACACTTCTGTGGTTTTGGTGTAACCACAGGGAAGACAGTGACTAAAAGGAAGGAGGCTGCCGCACCTCAAGTGTCTCATCTTATTTCTCATCATCATTAAATCCGTCAACTGACAGACATCCAGCTGTCATGCAACAACTCCGTCTCTACAAGCTCAGTGGAACACATTCCTGCCTAGTTAGGCATTTCATGAATCTCCCATAGAGTTCCTGTTATCTACCAGTTTGCCTCAATGTACTGTCGATGACTGCTGACATTATCTGTAACCTTCAGAAAATGACCCTGGGCACAAGTTGCTGTATAAATGTGAAAAACATCTTGGCTTTTAATAGGTAAAAAGGGGTGATGCAGAGATGAAGTTTCTCTGAGACTGTTGCATCTCAGTTTAAGTGTGCCACACGCACTGGCCTCTTCATGCAGGTATTTCACCAATTTGGACCAGACTATCGCAACCCACCCAAGTATTTCCAATTTGGGCTACCTTATACGTCACAGCAATTCAGGGGTAATAACTGTACTTTTTACCCCACTAAATCTCCCTGCCACTTTAGTAACTAGTTTATTTACAGGTTTTAATAGATATAACAGAATAAAGATGAAACTTCCCAAAAATATATAAAATTGTTAAAATCAATTCCAACTCGAACATCCACAGCAGCAAAAACCTCATTCCAAATCACAGTGACATCGTTAATAATATGAATTACCAAAAGAAAAACCCTAAAACCTTTGTGGTACACACACCATTTGTCTAGAAAGGAGTGGTAAATCTTACAAAATAACACCATAAAAAGCAGGATGAGTGGTAAAAGGGATCATCACTTCATCACAATTAATTTTCACAGGAACATTACAGAGTCTACAGGTAACCTGACACAAACACAGGATGTGAGAGACAGTGAAAACAACATTTTCAACTCATCACTAATTGTACAGCTCCACCCCGCAGAGGAAGAGGCATGTCCTATCTGATCCCTGGAGTCTAATCTGTGATGACAGTCCCTCTAATGACTGTGTTTTTCATTACTGGAAACACAGTGGAGAATGAGACAACATGGTACAGATGACATCAATAAGACAGATTCACAGCGCTGCAGGCATACATGGCTAAATCCAGAGAGAGAAATGGATTAATTCCAAGACGTTAGCCCTTCATCTCAACTCAACCATAAAACACAGCTGTGCAATACAGTTTCCCTGCCAAATCATTTTCACTAGACACAGTCTCAATTTTAAAACCGAACAGTTATCACACCTCTTACACCAACTCTCTGGTAAAGCAATACAAGCACTGCTTATCTGAACAAAAACTATATACCCAAAATTAAATTGTTACTGTTCTAGAAAAAACAATTATTCCAAGTCAATTCACAGAGGCATAACCAAAGCAAAAAGAGTTTGTGTTTCTTTTCTCTTCTATTTGTTTTGAATGAAAGTCTTGCGAGTGGGTTAGGGATAGGGTTAGACCACATCATGTGCTCGTGTTGGTGCTACCAGCGGAAAAGTCAAGTCTGGAGCCCTTGCTAAATTAACATGTGCATGCAAAATGAGCCTGGTGGAGAGAAGGAGCAAACGAGAAGTCCCAACACAGACACAACAACTGATAAAGAGGGTGCAGGTGCAGGTGGGCAGAGACCAACTGAGCCAGTGAAGAAGAAAAAGTGCTACTTTCAAAAACCCTGGCTAACACAGAACCAGGAAGAATAGCTGCTGCAATGCAAGGGCTAATGGGAATCTTAATAAACTAACCAACAAACAAACAAACAAACAAACAAACAGTACCCATGGTTGCAGAGCAACTAGTTGCTGTAAGCTTCTCCCAGTTTGGATTCCTTCAGTGTCAGTCGTGAATAATTAAAGCAGTGGTTTAACAGACCTCGTTAGATCTCGTAACTACATTATAACTGAGACACTAGAACTGTAAAATACCAAATATTTCAATAAAAATGAACAAAACTGCAAAAGTACTCACAAAAACGTCAATTCCTGTGTGTAAAAGTTATGAGAATTGGACTTTATATACAATGATGGTCTTTCATGTACTGTTAAATTCAAAATGTTATTGGATAATGTGTGCCAGTCATCCCCACCAAAGACTACGACCGACTGACCAGTTATGCACAAGACAGAGGTTAACTTGTTTGTGTCGTTCCCTGTCTTTTTGGCACTGCTTGGCCTCACTGTTGCAGATGACAGCATGGGGCCTTAGTGAAAACAATAACTGCTGGATAGATTCCTATGGTGATGATGTTAGAAGCAGTTCTTTTACAAAACAACTGCTGTGTGATACTTGGATCACGTAAAGGTTTACACTGAGTTGTTAGTTTAGGGTTTGTGTTTTCAAAAGATGGATCGTTTTATATTTAAAAAAATGTCCACTTTGCTTCTCATTTACAGTTTTTAACTCAATTTCCACCTCATGTAATTGTGTTAGTGTTAACATATGTAGTCAAAAAAAATGCTGGAGTGAAAAGTATCCCAAATGTGTGCAGTCAAAAACTGCATCACACATGAACCTAAAATGATAATAAATTATGAGAAATTAAAAAGTGTTCTTTGATTTCCTTGTCAACTACCTTCATAAAATCTATAAAGAAGCCCACAAACAGTGGACAAAACACCACATTTCAAGATGACATGCAGAAGTGACCTGTGGTGTGTGCCTGACAAACTTCCTAGAAACATTCCCAAAAATTTCAACTTGGACCACACAAAGTGTGGAATGCCAAAGAATGCACGAAAAAGCTTTTGCAAAAAGCATTTGAATGACTGCTTCCTGCCAGCTGAAAATGAACAAGATTAAACCAAGGGGGGAGTTCTCTCCCGAGCTGCATTCCAGTTGATTCTCCAGAAGATCCTGCTCAGTCAGAGACCCACACACACAAAGCAGGCTCTGCCGTCGCAGTGAGGCCTCTAACACGCCGCTAGGCAACAGGGCTTTTGTGCAAACTTTTAGGAACTCAGGACTCAATTCAAAAACAAGAAATGCCAAGCCCTCGCTTTTCACATGGCTCAGGGAGGAGGCCCTGGAGAATACTTATTAACCTGCTCACTTCTGAAAAACAACCGCCTTGTCTGCAGACTCACTGCTTCGTATCTGTGTTGTTTTAATACCTGGAAAAAGTTGGAAGAGCTGAAAAGCATTTTTTCTGATGAGTTAGAAACAAATTACAGTGACAAAAATTACAAAGAAGAGGAAAATACAACAGCAACAGAACTGTTGATATGTTAACATTTGTGACCTCATAGATGTAGGAACTCCAGAGCATTTACAGTATGTCATCCATAACATGGTGACCAGTGACGCAACCTTATCAATAAACCCTGAGGTCACACTGTGCCCCACAATGGCTAAATGACATTTTATTTTAAGAAAATCTACTCGTTTGTCTGCTAATTAACTCCTTGTAACCCTATTAATTATTACTGCAAGCCACTTAGTTTCAAAAAGAAGCAGGAAGCGATCGATTCCCTTTTGTTTTTCCGAACGTTGAAACTCTGTAGAATCCCTCCATCATGTCGAACCCAGGCACAGAGGCAAGGCCCGACCCAGCTGACTACCTAGGAAAAACAGGACTGCACACCTCCGACAGTGGATATGGTTGATGTTATTGAAGTGGAAAAGACAGACAGACATCTGGTCACTTGCAAGTGCAATCAAGTGCAGGTAAGGCTGAGATCTGGGCAAAGTTAGCAATAGGACTAAGTGTTAGCAGATGCTAAGTGTTTGAATTTCAGTGCTGGATTTCATTGTGAACTGATTTTGTGTCTCGAATTTTGTTCTTTGTCAAGTTTTGTTTCAACTCAGTCAGATCTTGCTCGCTCGCTCTCCATTTCTCTACTAATGTTCAGCATATACTCACACTTAAACATTGCATCTTTGTCTCAGTAGTGAGGTAGTATAGAAAGATTTGCTAAGAGGCCAACTTGGAAACTTAAATCTTCCACTATGAGCTCATAATTCTTTGTTTGCTTGTTCTCACACACACCAGCTCTCTTTCCAACCTGCAGATAGGTGCCCACTGCTTCTATCTCTCTCTGTCACACACACACACACACACACACACACACACACACACACACAGAAAGTATGATGTGAGTAAATTAACAGAAGCTTTTGAATTATGAGAGGCACTGTTGAAATTTCACATAGTTTTAGTTAATCAATAGTCAGAACTAAATAAAAACATTGCAACTGCTTTCCACAATGCATGAGCCGCTGACTGGAGCTAGGGGTCTAGTCTATGAGTCAAGTCAAGAAAAGTTATCTCAGGGTACTTTTCATACAGAAGTGGCCTATGTGGTTTGTCCTACTGGTGTTGCTGTACCTAGCTGCCCAAGCTGGTGGACCTACTCAACCAATTATATTTAGGAATACAAGGGTGACTAGGTCCACAAACGTACTGCCAATGAGAGCGAGCAGGAGATCAATAATAGTAGGTATGTGTTCTGGAATAACAGTCACGTGCATTCAGGGTCAAAGTATAGTTTTCTCCTTGCAGGCAACGATAATTCTTGCACGAGCAGAACTATTCTGTGTGATAAAATTGATTGAACAAAAAATAAGGTGTGTGTGCAGCTGTTTGAGTTCCGTGTGCAGCTCCTCTACATTGCCGTGCGTGAATCTCATTTGCTCTCACAGATTTTGCCAGTATAATGCCATCATAGGCTTTTCCTTTTATACTACAGATACAAAGGATCAGTGAGATGACAATATGACAAGAGTGTAAGGTCCCCCACCACCCTTTCCTCTATCCGCAGATTTCACTCAAATCTCAGCCATCTGTCTTTTCTGCACCAGTTATGGACAAAGTGCCAAAACCAGGTTAGAACAATCCTTTGACCCACTCACTAATCCCAAGATTTGTTTCAGTGATAGCTCACTGCAGCAGTGAAGCAGAGAGATCTGTGCTGACTGGGGCATTTATGATGGACAAAATTTACCATAAATACTCCAGAGAATGCAGGACAGATATTTACAACTATATTATCAGTTTAATCACAGTTTTGTGTAGAGACATGGCAGGCTGATATGCTGTTGGCTAATCCTGAGGTCAATGCTGGAAATAAACCGTCTGTCATCCATGTGACAGCTCAACCAGATGTGATAGCTATCTAAATAAACAGTACAGATGTCAACCTACACAAGGCTAAAAATAAGATGTAAAGCCTTTTAGTACAACTCTATAAGTCACGGCACACTTCAATGACTTGCTTTTACCAACAGGAAAAGACCAAAACAAACCAGTAACACAATTTGGGAAATTGTAAATGACCGTGAAAAGGCCAACATGACTGACCCTGAGCCGAACCAAAACATCATTTCTAAATTCTTGTCCGAAACAGGCCCAACCCAGCAGGTTCCAGTGGGTCACAACGGGCTTGGGTTGGGTAGAGAGAGAGAGAGAAAGAGAGAAAGAAAGAGAGAAAGAAAGACAGGGCAAGGGGGCTGAGCGAATCAATGTGCTATAATGTCTACAATGAATCAACAACGCAAAACACTACAGTAGAGATCTTTTATGTGATCATGAGAAATGAAAAAATATTTCTTACACACAAATTACAGACTTTGGTGGGTGAAAGAACAGGAATGGGACAGGTTATTTGACTACGGTTGGTGTTGTCTCGGACGAATAAAAAAATGGAAATTTAAAAAAATGCTAGGACGGGTTACCGGATTTACTTTAGTGGCTGTTGGGTAAGTAAAGTCTATGTGTGGGACACACTATCTTCCATTTTAATGTAAACCCAGAACCAGTCCCAGACACCCAGCCCTCCTGATAGCCACCTATTCTGCTAAGCATATATTCGTAAGATGCTATTTTAACCATTGCACGAACCTATTATTTCAGTTCTGGAGCCACTGTTTTCTTCTTCCAATGTCTTAAAATAACTCAACAGCCTGTTATTATACCCACAATAATAACAGAAAATGCACACTTGTTTGGTATTCAGGACCGGTCCCCCAGTAAACATGACTGATACCTGGGGCAGCTGTGGCTCAGGATGCGGAGCAGGTAAATCACCTATCACAGGGTTGGCAGTTTTTTTCCCCAGCTCCTCCAGTCCGCAAATATAAGTGTCCTTAAGTAAGACACAGAACCCCAAATTTCCCCCAATGTATCATCTATGTGAGTGTGTGATAGAAAAGCCCTGTATGTATAGAAAAAGCACTGTGAATGGGTGAATGTGGCTTGTAGTGTAAAGCAGTTTGAGCGGTCGATAAGACTCACAAATACAAGTGACACGCTCACACTGTCGAGCCCTGGCATCCATACACCAACCCCCCTCCCCACCCCGCCACTTCTTTAATCCTCAGCACTGAGAAAACTTAGTGAAAGCAGATGCAGAGTCTGAGAAACAGCGAGAGACTGCGCATGACCGTTGAGTTCATTGTTTTGAGGCAACAAAGGGTTAAGTGGCATTTAGAGCCCCTGCAAGGCAAAAGACTAAATAAAGCTCCTTTTCTTATGCCACAGAGATATTCACTTGCAGGTCCAGTGCCTCACTGGGAAGCAGTGCTATGACAAACAGTGTGCTAATCCCAGGATTTGTCCTATTATACTGCCACCTGAGGCTGGGTTTAAAATTCTAATGTGTAAATCTGATTACAAAGTAATACTATCTCCTTAAAATACATTACAGGATCAATATTATAAATCTAATATGCTATAGAGGTACTATAAAAATTAACGTGATGGCTTTTACATTGATTTTCACTCACAAAGTATAATGGGACTTAGCAGATCTCAGCATCTGTACTTGCACTTGGCAGCAAACGCTCACAATGGACACCATCTCACCATCTGACGGACAAATCTAATAATCACCTCTCGTTCAGTGTCAAGTTTCTGGATCCTGTAAAATGTGCCCCCAACCACACACCCCCGCCCTGTGGCCCATTAAGACTCATTATGTGCCCATTATGCACCTGGTGACCTCTGACCTCGTCAGCACTGTGCTGTGCCGATCACCCCCCCCCGGGGACATGAGCAGATGGACACACGGATGAGGCTGTTGTTTGTACTCTAACTGCATGGATGCATTCATCAGCTTCACACAGAGCACACACTGCAAGGCAGCATTACATGTCTCTGTATTCAGGTGGAAAGTGTCCATCTCCAAATTATGTAATATTCTTAGGAACTAAAGGTTTTTGTAAAAATAAAGACATGTCTTTTTTGCTTATGTGAAAATCACAGGAAATTGAAAAGCCCAAGGGTTGAGCAAACAGAAACTGGGAGTCAGGGAAGATGGAGAAATCATCAGAACAATACATCCAGTCTTGAGGTGGATGGACTACAACAACAGAAGACCACGTCAGGTTTCACTCCTGTCAGTCAAGAACAAAAATCTGAGGCTGCAGTGGACACAGACTCACCAACACAGGACAGTTGAAGACTGGAAAAACGTGGTCTGGTGAATCTGGATTTCTGAAATCAATCGATCACTATGTTTGAATGCAAACTGCGGCCATAAAGAGATGCACATAGTCAGAAACAATACTCAGATAAGATGTAGCATCTCCTTATGACTACTTCCTGCAGGATAATGCACCATGTCACAAAGTAAAAGTTGTCTCAAACTGGTTTAATGAACAGTGAGTTTAGTGAACTTCAGTGGCCTCCCCCAGTCACCAGAATCCAGTACAACACCTTTGCAATGTGGTAGAACAGGAGATTGGCAGCTTGAATGTGGAGCTGACAAATCTGCACAAATAATGTGATGCAATCATGTTGACATGGAGCAGAGTCTCAAAGGAAGGTTTCCAACAAATTGTGAAATTCCATGCCACAAAGTACCGAGGTTGTTTTGAGAGCAAAGGGAGGCTCTACCCAGTATTAGTGTGCTATTCCTAATAAAGTGTCCAGTGAGCATATATAGTTGTTATATAATAGAAAGTGAAAACTCAAGCTTTACATTATCTCACTAGGTCCACCTCTCCAGAGGGAAGTCACCTTAAAGAATCCTTGTTGTACAGGGAATCCCTGCAGGCTCCCTTGACCCTTACATCACCCTGAATACACTGATGCCCAATAAACAAATCCCATTCATATTAATTCACATCATCAAAGCTATTTATTACTACCTGACAACAACAGCTCTTCTGCCTTCTCTGTGTAAGTTTATGTACAGTGCTACACGTTGTCATTGTAACACATTACTGACCAGCCTTTCTTAATAAGCTCATATCTTTAACTGTTAAATACCCTCAATGTGAACCCTTGTAGACTTAAATATTTAGGTTAAGCCTGAGGCTAAGTTCCATGGTGTGGAGAGGATTTAATCTAAGCCTACTTTATATCACATTTCCTTGGCATTTTTTTTCCGGGGCTGTAGCCCAATTTGCATAAGATACAGCACTAGCTATCCATTGTCCTGATTAATTTTTCCCTTGCTTAATTTATTGTTATTTTCAGACATAGTTCTGAGTCCTGACCAAAACCTACCCTTTAATTAGTGATACATTTTGTAGGAATATGTTGTGTAACAGCAGTAACTCCCTAATGGGGAATTACTTGAGCATAATGAAAACACTAAGCGAATATCTTGGCAAGTGCACTCAGTAGTGAGCAGCACAGACACATAAATGCAGCAGCTTTCTTAGAGAGTTATTTCAAATTATTATTATTATTATCTTATTTTAAGAAAATGGCCAAATAAATAGTTGCATTTGTTTGACAAACATACTAGGGATCACACACAGTGATTTATATTACATTGTGGAGGTCAAAGAGGCGTGGAAGACGTTTAAAAGTGTTGTATTTAATTAAATAAAGTCACTATAAACTCGAATATAGTTACAACTATATAGGCTAATAAGTTATTGTAATATTGTAAGTATATTCCCGCGGTTTGTAGTTAAGGAGTTAAGGGGAGGAGGTACTGTAGAAGCAGCAGTGATAAAAGAAAGAATATATTTATGATGAGATCGTAATAAATTCACCAAAACATGACGGTTACATAAAAGTAAGGTAACAAACAGTTAGCGTTAGCTAACTAGCTAACATTATTTGAATTTCGAACGGACGTTAATTAAAGTCAGCAGAATCTCAACAGACGTCGTCACCTCCAACGTACGTAGTACAAAATAAACCATTCGTTTAAACCCAGGTATCTCATATTAAAAAAAAAACACACACACACACACACAAATAAACAAAGAAGCTTACCTCGAAAACAAACTGTCGCACAAAGTGTCCACTCCGACGAAGACGCTTGTTAGCTAGTCCGACCGTCCCGTACTGAGCATGTTGTTTGAGGGGAAACTACAAAGTGAAAACCACACACGGTCTCTGCTGCTGCCGCTTCCCTCTCCGTCCCATTTACATGTCAACAGACTGTCGCTACGTTCAAATGAGGGGAGGAAGAAGACACTGGCCAGTTACAGTTCAGTTTCCTCCTCCAGTGAAATGAAACCCTGCTCAAAACTATTGCCCACTTTTGACTTACTTGGCTGCTGAGCCGAGTAAATAAGCCATGTGTGTGTCCACTATTTAGACAAGTGAAACAAGCTTTCATTTTAAAGCCTAAAAAAGATCATAATGGAACCAATTTTGGCAAGTAAACTGCTATATAACCCCTTAGTATTGTCTTAAAAGTAAATTAATCAACAAAATAGATAGATTATTTAAAGGGATATTTCAGTAATTTAATATTGCAATTCAATGAAAAAAATTGGAGTTACTGACTTAAATACTGACTTTTATTCTGTATGTGTCAAAGTAAAATCCCACATTTCCCATAATTCAACTTGACACTACATGCATACATGCATCCATACTCTTATAATTTTACCTACACTATACTACTATACTATGTAATCAAAGTATATCTTTTTTTGCAGTTGTATACAAAAAGCAAGGTACTTTGTTTCCACTAAAATAAAATGATGAATACAGACATTTTAAGTATACTTAAATTTGGCACTTTTCAAGTGTAGGTGACACTACAGACTCGAAACCTAGAAGAATTAACAGCTCAGGAAAGAAAGTGAGCAATCCATGATATCGCTGATGTCTTTAAAACTTCATGCCATAAGTTTATAACACATACTTTCCATTACACAGTTGTAGCCCCCCCGATCAAGCTAAGATGACCCCTGCAATTATCGCCTAGAGAGAGACCTCCACTCCCGCTTTTAAAGAATCTGAACAGGAACAGCATCTCCAAACACCGGGCCTTGGGGGCATCCAGGAAGTACTTATAAGGTGAAGAAGGGCATCACAAGCAAATCTAGGTTTGTGAAATGCAAGATAATGAAAGCCCTTGACAATCAGCTGTTCCTTAAAACAGGTAATAAGGCTCTTAACTGATGTCAACAAATTGCTTTAGCCTTACCACTACATGCCTGCTGTTTTAAGAAATGCCATAATTAGTTTGAACTTGCTGCTGTCATTTGTTACGGGAACCTTTGTCTCACATTTTTTGTATTCAAGATTTATAGTATTTTGTATTTAATTCAAGAATGGTGACATCCAAACAAGTCGCTGTTCTGTGACTCTGTCTCACTCTCTGTCTCTCTCTTTCTGCACCTACAGTACCGGCCCCCAAGCCCCAGAGATCAGAGTGTGGCCCCCCCATCCTGAGGAAGAAGGGTGTGTCTGCAGCAACCTGGATGTTTCATTCCTCTTCTCTTTGTGCTCTTCTTCATCTGCTGTCAGACTAAGACAATAGCTCTCCAAAGAATGGAACTAGACACTGGAGAAGGGCAGAATATATGCAGCGAAACTGTCACTTCATGATTCTGTTGTGATTCCTCCGCGCACGCCGACACGCTCTCTTCAGCCGTATAGAAACAGCATTGTCTCATCCTGTGAGTCGGTGGAACGAGAGCTGATCTAAATTGTGTCGCACTCACCTCGGGGCTCGTTCCGATCCATCCACAATGCAAAGAGCCACGGGAAACCCATATAATATGCTTGCAAGTATTGATTTCAGAGTGAGAGGATAAAGCAAAGGACTGGGGGACAAGTCTAGCTTATGTGAAGGGTATGGGGAAAAGTAGATTCTGAGAGTCGATGAAGATGAAGATTCTGTGGCAAAGTTTCGTAACAACTCAGTGCCTTTAGATAAAGATTCTCTGTGTGTTGTGTTATAATTATAGACTATAGACGGTGCTTAATTCTAATCAATGAATAATTCAATAACATATAAAAAACTAATATAAACTGATACATTAAATTTTAATTTCAGGAATGAATGAATAAAATCTAATTAATAGCACAGACAACTCCCACCACCCCATGTCAGCTGGCCGGGCAGAGCTCCTGCTGCTGCTCTGTGGGATGGACAACACTGAACAGAACTAACCACATCCTATCTCCAGCTCCAAACTGAACATCAAGGCAATGGATTGACATCAATCTTTGCATATAACTCTTGCAAAGTCTCCAAAATGTTTTCCTTTTTCTTATGTGGCTTACACGTCTATAAATGAAAAACAGCTGACTTTAAATTAGAGCAACCACAAAATGGAAACAACAACAAGCAACAGCCAAACAAATGGTGAATATGATAGGCACATAAATGACACATGAGTAAATAGAAAAACAAAACATGAATGAATTCAAGAAACAAAAAAAACCCCATCATTTTAATGCAAATGTATATGTACAGCTGCACATTTCTGTTAAACACAAAATTACAGCAGGAAGTTAAGGCAGCTCAAATGCAATTTTAGTTCATGTCAAGAAGCAGAGTGTTGTTTTAGAGCAAAGATCTCTGAAACCTGATCGGCGTTATCTTTTGACCTGGTGCTCCCACGTAAAGCCCCGAGTCATTTGTCTGCTGATGTCAACGGCTTCAGGTGAAAGTGCTTTTCTTGGCCACTTCACTGCCTCTGATCGTTGATGATCAGCGGAGAACTTCCGAACAAAAGCAGTGAAGACGTTCTCATTTCTCTTGTCTCAAATTGCAGAGCAGAAATCTGATTCTACATGACTTCACAGCTTTCATGTTTTGGGCTCTCAAGTTTTGCGAGAAGAAAACTTTCTCAAAGTATTTTTCTGCCATTGAGGGAAAATAACGTCACCCTCTCTGGAATGTGATACTTCATGTCAAATCTGCTAGTCAACAAAACTCTCTCACAAATTTGGATAAAGCTTGAAACTCGAGGAGGACAGACAGTCACATGTCACCATTGTTTGCACTCACTGAGCGCTTTATTAGGAGCACCAGACTAATACTGGGTCGGGCCTCACGGAGATGTTATGGCTTCACTTTGGGGTTTGCTGTTCCTTCCTTCTTCCGCATTTGGTCATGGATTGCTGTATCTCAAGTCACTTTGTGCTCTTGCAAACCTTCCTGCAGTTGCACCTGTCCTTGCAACACTTCCCCTCTCCACCCACTCCAGTCTTTCCTGGAGGTTCTCATCTTTCCAGAGACACCAAAATTAAATTAAAATGTATTGTGTAATGGGGTGTTTCTTTGGTTTACAGGTTCACACACAGAATCTGACCGGGGACTGTTGCGGCATCTCTCTCTCCTTTATTTCCTGGCATCTTTCCACCTTAATGATCTAATTAAGACACATTAAAGTGTAAGACTGAAGGCTAAATTATAATTGAGTGTGAAACAGGCTTGAAAACAGCTGACAAAGAAGTCCCAAAATGGCTTTGCTGCTGGGTTGCTGCAGGGCCTTAATTGGCCACTTGGTTTGCCTCTGCCTGGGGCCAGCTAATGCCTGCATGATGAGCTCCCATAAATCTGACAGAGCTGTATTTTGTGTTTAAGCAGAGGAATGTCCAGATGTTGAGTTCAGGGGAAATCCAGTCAGCAGCCTTCACCTGAACAGGTCTGTTCTGTTGTTTGCTCGTGCATACGTCAGTAAATGTTTCAGTTTTTATTGCTGTTTAGAAGTTTATGTGCGAGCAAAGACATATTGAAATTAAATATCTAAGTCTCTTTGATGAAGTTGAATTCATATTAGAATGATGAGAAACAAAATAAGTCACAAAGTTATAAAGAAATAAACCAGACTTTACCTGAGACTGTATCACTGTGATATCAGTCTTCAAGAGTCTGGTAACCACATAGTGCCATCCTGTGGTGAGATGAGTGAGTGACATCATTAAAATCATTTTTAAAAAAATCCTTCCCCTCTGAAATATAGTGGAGTAGAAGTATGACACCAAAAAATGGAAATAATCAAGTAAACTTCAAGTAAATCCATTTGCACTCTTATTTATCACAATCATACAAAACTAATGGGCAACTTTCATCATCCCTGAGTAATTTTCCACTGTGCAATAATCATATTTTACTCCACTGTAAACATATTTGCACTGAGACACTTTATATTTATCTTTTTATATTAGGATTGTGTTGAATGTGTGTCAAGCTTTTTCTTTTTTTTTAATAGTGTTTTAAACCCTACTGTTGTTCTTGTCTGTTGTTCCCCGACGGCAGAACAAGCTCCCGAATACTATACACTCTCTGTCTTCAAGAATCTCTTGAAGACTCATCTCCCCTGAGAGCACCTCCTCTCCTAACACCTCTAACACCCTAACATCCCTAACTAGCACTTACTATGCACATTCAGTGCACTGCTGTACCTCATCTCCTTGCACTTATTAAAAAGATGTAGCACTCAGTACTTACACCCGGGTCTCCTACTGCGCTGAAGCTTCAGTGAGGTCCCTCACTTCTAAGTCACTTTGGATAAAAGCATCTGCCAAATGACTAAATGTAATATAATATACCAACCATGAAACATACGAGAATGCATGTAAGACGAAGAATGTACAATGCATGAGATTTCTAAAACACAGAGGAGAAAAAGAAGTAGAGAATAAATATAAAACATGCAAAAATAGATTAATAAGTAATTTGAGGTCTAATAAGAAGCAATATTATCTCAAGAAGCTGGAATAGCTGGAAAGAATGATACGCAAGGAACATGGAAAGTGCTCAACAGTGTAATTAAAAAAGAGAATTGATGAAAAGATTAAAAAAAGAGAAAAATTAAACAATATCATCATAAATGATAAAAAAGAAATTGCAAATTAATTAGATATATCTTAGCAAATGAGATTGTGAAGTCGATCAAACAGGAGGAGAAGACATTAATGATATGTAAACTGTAGAAAGTGTTGATGGAAGGAAATACTTGATAACGTTAAAAAAAAAACGACAGACTGGACTGAAACTGATACGTTGTTAGTTAAAAATATTTGCGAAACCTCTGACACATATCTGTAATCAATCCTTTCAAACAGGAATATTCCCTAATTTAATATGTATAAATATTAATAAGGATCGAAATGAACTGAACTAAATCAGTTCAGGAGTAGCACTCATAATTTAGTTGTATTTTGTACTGACCAATGACATTAAAGGCTTTTTAATCAAAACTGTAGCTAAACTCAGTAGTTGAGTAAATGTATTTCAACACTTAAAGCCACTGAGAATAACCTTTGGCATTT